CGTCTTACAAAAATATTTAAAAATGCATTCTTATTCTCAAGGTAAAAGCAAGCATGTTTTAGGATAGTAGGATAATACTTGTATCCCACTCATTAGGAAAAACCTAATGGATTAATTACCTCTCCCTGGATCTCTGAAAACTGCAGAATGAAGGAAGTCTCCAAAAGAAAAGAAGAAAAACAACATGAGTCTTTGAGATTTTCCAGAACAATTTCTTTAGTAATCTCTCCCTGAGGATTTTGCGCGAAAATTATTACCGATAAAGCAACTGAAGACCTTCTCAAACCACTACTTACTAAAAATAAAATCTTCTGCTAAAAAGGGTAGAGAATAAAAATTTTTAATTTTAATTTAATTTTTTTCAATAGGTAATTTGTTCCCATGATCCAAAAAACAAGTAATATAAAAAGGCACACAGTGAGAAGCCTCCTACCTCAGGTGCCCACATGCTTCTACTCTCTCCCCAGGCAGGTAAGTAATGGTATCTGTTTATCATATATCCTTATAGGGTTTCCTGCGTCTATGTGAGCAAATCTATAAACAGTCACATGCACCTCTCTGTTTCCCTCCTTTTACAATTCAAACGGTAGCATACTGTACTGCACTGCATTTTTAATCACTAAGTATATCCTGGTGATCTTCCACATCAGTATCTGGAGGGGTTCCTAATTATTTTTTACAGCTGTATAGTATCCCATTTACTTATGTGTGTGCACGTGTGCACACTCACAGGGAGAAAATAGATTTAACCAGACCAAACCAATGGACATTTGGCTTGTTTCCAATCTTCTGCCATTATAAACAATGTGGCAATGGGCACCCTCATATATACGTCATTTCATATGTCTATGAGCACGGCTGCTGTGTAAAGGGGTTTAATAGGACTTGGATAATTTGTATGTCAACTAGTTTAAACACTACCCTGAGGAATTCTATTACGCACAGCATTATAACAATTTTGAATTCAAAGCAATGCCATATTTGACGATATTTTTCATTGTTTCGTTTAAAAGACCAAAGGGAGGAATCTCTGTTCCTTGCTGCTATTGGTGGAGGGAAATGTTTCTTTTCTCGCTAGTAAGAAAATACAATTTTAAAAATATTTATTTTCCTTAAAAATCTTTTAAGAGGCCCTGCTTTAAATGATAAAACTACTGAGGGCCCCGCACCTGCAAAAGGGGGAACCACTTTGTGCTCCCTACTGAAGTGAGCCTGGAATCAAATCCTCTTTGATGAGTGTTCTTATCACTTTGTTTCCTAGCATCAGTTATGATCCTCTGTCACCTGAATTTCCATACTCATTAAACAGGTCCATCCATTAAATCTTAGAACAGTTTTCCTCTACCTTTCCCCTAGTGAAAAGCAAAAGGTCTCTGATTTTGGTATGTGGACATTCATAAAACCTACTGATCTGGACACAAGCAGGAAGTCAAGTGATGCCCATGGTGACAGTGATGGAGTGGATGGAATCCCAGCCATACCTGGTAACCATTCAGGGCCCATGGGGGCCAACAGTTCACAAGAAGATAAAATAATAGCTCCACAGCTGAACTGGGAGCACGTTAGTAACGGGGAGCTGGCCTTTCTGTTTTCCCTGACAAGAACTCCACCGCCCGTCAGAGGCTGGGGACTGCTGTGGTTGCGCAGGGGTGAGAGACGCCAAGTTTTGAGGAAGACTGCAAACTGCTGCAACAGGAGAAAAGGGTCCTTCACTGTTTGGAGGCATCTGACGAAAACTGAAAATACATGCTGAAATAGAGCGGACAGAGCCAGATCCTTGCTGCTGGGACGGCACCAGGACACCAGTAAAATCTGAGAGGGTAGAATTTCCTCATCTTCGCTAAGTTACCCAGCGGCCCCAGGACATCAAGATGACTGAAAAAGGAAAGGTCCTGGTAGAGTAACAAAAAAACGTGTAATTTATTTACTCATTTAATATATGCCCTGCTGGGGCGTCCCTGGCGGTCCAGTGGTTAGGACTCTGCGCTTCCACTGCAGGGGGCACGGGTTCGATCCCTGGTCAGGAAACTAAGATCCTGCAAGCTGCACAGCGCGCCCAAACAAAAATCAAAACAGGGCTTCCCTGGTGGCGCAGTGGTTGAGGGTCCGCCTGCCGGTGCAGGGGACACGGGTTCGTGCCCCGGTCCGGGAAGATCCCACATGCCGCGGAGCGGCTGGGCCCGTGAGCCATGGCCGCTGAGCCTGCGCGTCCGGAGCCTGTGCTCCGCAACGGGAGAGGCCACAACAGTGAGAGGCCCGTGTACCGCAAAAAACAAACAAACAAAAAACCGCCCCAAAACACATTCTGCTTACTTCTCCCCTATCCTCCTCCACAGAGGAGACTGCCCTGGGAAAGGCCTCCAATAAACTCTTCACTCTCACACCCAAAACAGTCCTTTCAGTCCTCATTTCGGTCTCTGAGGAATCTGGAAGGAGCTCCTAAACCGCCTTTCTCCGGCACCATTTTCCAAGCCGCCCTCCTGCGCCTCCCCTCCTCTTTGAGGACTCCGGTCCGTCATGGCCCTGGCCGGCTTCCCCTCCTGCGCAGGCCTGAAAGTATCATCATCACGCCCGCACAGCCTCGCCTCTGTGCTCAAATCCATCACGCTGTTCCAACCAGGTCCTGAGCTCCCCAATCTGTCTTCAGATCAGGCTTCCAGACCCCTGAACTGGCAGACATAACCTTTTGTCCAAAATTGACCTCAATCATTTTCTTCCCCAAACCTGCGCCTGCAACATTCACCTCTCTGCACTGTCACCCAGAGCCCACACCACCCTGTCTCCCCTGGCTCCACCTTATTCTTCATGTCGCCGAGTTCCAGAGCTTCCATCTCCTGAGCACGTCCTGAATCTCTCCCTCCCCCTCCCCGCTGCTGAGACCTCTACCCCACCTGCTGTCCCCACCCTCACTTGTGCATTGGTAACTGTACACATTTCTACTATGTACATTATTCTAACGTAATTTTATACACCACAGCCAGGAACATGAGTGGGGTTTAGGTAGACTGTTTAAAGACTCCTTCAAGGGACCCAGCTCCCCAGCTACTCCTAGGCACATCTATAGGAACTTCTGAAATAAGGCCCCTTTCTCTGGGCTCTACCCCACACTGCACCCTCTCTGCTTTACTCATGCTCTTTCCTCCTTCCACACTTCTGTTCACACTCTTGCTTCAACCCCTTCCCTGCCTTGGGTGGACCTTATCCTCTTTCAGCATTAAACTTATTGGGGGCGGGGATTCCCCCTCTCTGCAGCCTCTCTTGGTCCCTGAATAATACCTATAAAAGTGCCCACTCCCTCCTCTGGGCTCCTACTCTACCTAGGCATACTTCTATTACAGCATCTGTGTTCCTTTATTCTGTTTATTTGGTGTAGATGAAACAATTCTTTTTCAAGCAGATACTGCTGTTTTCTATTATTTTCTTCATTTAAACATAAGGAAACTAGGGTGAGAGAGAAAAGCTGAAGAAATTTTGGCTACTTTTTTTCAAGGAATTCATGATAGAGGATTTGGGTTAGATAGATTTCAAAAAAACACAGAAAGTCATGGTTTTTTCTTATATTTTCCTTAAATTACTTGAGTTATTTATAATTAACAATGACACAATTTTCCATAAACTCTGCTTTGTTTAGCTAATCACAACTATGCTATGATTATCAAGAGCTAATCACACCTGTCAGTGGACCCGTATCAAGGAGTACTAACCCTTAGCACACTTTCAGATGCATGGTAGGTGGTCAGTGAACTGATGAGCTGGGGAGCAAGTTATTTGCCTATAAACACTGAGATATATATTTTTAAGATTTAGATTACTGGTAGTTTTCCTGAAATAACAGGATATATATACATAGATACATATCTATGTATTACTTCAGGTAAACGCCTAGCAACCTAGATCTTAAAAATGAGTCTAATCGTTCATCAACTTCATTGTCTTTTTCTTAAGTTTTTTTTTTTTTCCCCCTCCTTTTTGCGGTACGCGGGCCTCTCACTGCCGTGGCCTCTCCTGTTGCGGAGCACAGGCTCCGGACGCACAGGCTCAGCGGCCATGGCTCACGGGCCCAGCCGCTCCATGGCATGTGGGATCTTCCCGGACCGGGGCACGAACCCGCGTCCCCTGCATCGGCAGGCGGACTCTCAACCACTGCGCCACCAGGGAAGCCCTTTCTTAAGTTTTTATAAGGAAAATTTCAAACCTATACAAAGACAGATTGTAGAATATTTAACAAGAATAGGAAGAATAGTGTAAGAATAGTGTAATGAATACCACTCAGCTTTGATAATGATTAAATAGCCAATCTTCTTTTATCTGTATCTTCTTTTACTCTGACACAACTTCCTCATGTCAGACCATTTCATATGACACTTTTGGCCTCCTCATGGGTGAAGATATCGACACAGAAAACACTGCCTGCAGCTGGCAGCACCAACATCTAACGAGGTCCCTCAAAAAACAGCAGGCACAAAACTGTCATGTGACATCCAGTTACAATTTCAAGTGTGAGCCCTTTAAGTACATGAAAATGAATTGTCTATGCTTAAAACTCTGTTGTATTGGGGAAAGCTATATTAACAAGCAAGTAAATACATTCCAGCTAACAAAATTTCTATTCGTTTATTTTTCTTCTAACAAATAATATTAACTTTTAGTCATGATCTTATTCCTCACATATTTTCAATCATTTCATCAATATTTTACTATTAAAAATCTGACATGAAGTTCCTTTTCTGACACAAACAGGAAGAATATTTTCAACAGAAGAACTTAAGCAACTAAATTGTTTTTTAACCCTTAGAAAGTAGAGTAATAATAAGGTCTCGGTAACATTATTTTAACTGGCAGATAAAAAGAAATGAACTCAACGCTCTCCAATAAATTTCACACAGTATAGAAAACTGGGAGAAAATTTGGCACGCAAAACTAGCGTGTGATATTTGAGAAGAGGAAAGCTGGAATGGGAAGCGAGTTAAGGCTGATAGAAAATAGTTACAAACACTCACCTTGTTGCTACCTAGACTGTAGGATGGAATAAGATCCTGTCGGCTGCCAGACAGCTAAACAAGAAATAAAGAGGGGGATTAGTCCTTCATGTGCAAAAGTACATAGATCTATGGTCCTGGAAATACAAGACTTTGAAAACCGAATCAACAGAATGTTGAAGTTGGATGGTATCAGACAGGCTGTCAAGACCAAAGTTACAAACTAGACTAGTGGCCTTTGGGACACTGTCAGGTGCAGTTTTTTTTAAAAAATTGGATTAACATTTTTCAAGATAGGAGGTTTGTATAACATCAGATATCCAGCGTACACTGAGGCAACAGCCGGCTGGGCCCGAGTAAGAGACGCTTCATTTGTTTATCCCCTTCTATTTAAAGGATACCAGGTTACTGGCTACCTTACCCTGTCCTAATCGGACGACTCCTTTCTCTGGGTATTGTAGCAAATGTATACACGCAGACTATTTATTTTAAACCATAGGATTCTAAATACCAAATCTCTGCACATACCAGTGCATTTTAGTAGATCATTTTCTGAAGGAATGAGAAGATATTTACGCTGAGTTAAAGTGGTATTTTTTACTGCCTGAGAATGTTCCCAATCTTTCCGTCTGAGATCATCAGTGACGTCACTCAGTCTTGCGGGGCCACATGGGCCCTCCAGCCTGAGACCCGTCCTGCCTCTCACTGGGTCCTCTCCAACACCAAGGCTAAGGGTCAGTTGCTCTTTATTTCAATGCTTGTACCATGGTTTTTCTGGGTAACAAGTTCAGACAAAGGTGTACTATCTCTCATATTCGTATCTTTATCAAAAGTAAGGAAAGTAGAGATAAATCACAGTTTATAAACCTAGTCCAGACTTCTCCTCAATTTATAAGTAATTCAGTTTGGCCTAGAAAATTCAAACAGTTTCCCTAGGCACTCGGCTAGTTTTGCTTTAGTACAACAAACACTCACCGAACAGAGTCAGTGTGCCAGGCACTGGCGACATGAAGATAAAGGAGAAACATTACAGAGGGACTCACATGGGAACTTTCCCTGTAAAATTAGGAAGGGCAGTGACAGAGGGGTGCACCGATGCTTCAGGGTAGAGAATGGGGACACTTAAATCAGTTCATAGGAGGAAATGATATCTGAGATGAGATTCAAAGGATGGGAAGGAGTTATCCAAGGAAAGAGGAGCGAAAGCAGAGCACAGAATGGGGTCCCAGCTACTCACTCTGTTCACATTTGGAGAGCTAATACTCCTCCTATTCAGCTTCCCTTTTCCTGTCAACTGTTCCTTCACTGCAACTTCCTGTCAGTCAGAGAAAATACAGACGAAAAATACACATGAGAGACACACTTCCAAAGTAACAGTATCTTAAAGCAGGCTGAGCTATGGACACATTCCTAGTTCTTTAAAGGACGGCTGTTACTTCACACGACAGAATGACTCAATTACCATCACTGTGGAATACTCAAAGTTAATTAAACAGCTGACAGGTTACCTTGATCATTCTTTTCTGTATCTACTGACGGCCCCCTTGAAGCTGGCCAGAAGTCAGTCCCAAGAGAAAGATTATTAAAAGCAGACCATTCTCCTTTATTTTTCATTAGTATTTTTGGTTAAAAAAAGTCTCAACACTGTCACATAAAATGGAGCTCAGGGTTTCTCTGAGGCTTAGGTTTACGGCTGGCACTTCTGTTTTCCCTTCTAGAGATCCACTCCAAGGCTGTGGAGGCAAAGAAGGGCACAGCACTCTACCTTCTGTGACATTATGACCCAGTATCAAGGAATTTCTAAAATACCTAGCCACCAAGAGTTACATATTCTCTTCCACTACTTCCAAATGGCAACTAGATACCATTTAGGGTCTTGGAAAAAGTAACTTTCCAGTAGTTTCTGTATCTTCAAAGACTTACCCAGCATGTTTAATCTAAATTAATATGCTCCACTTAGAGGCTTCAAACGTTTAGATGTAACAATAATGTGACTTGTGGAAAGTCAAACCCAGAGTCAGGCTGGGCTGGCACCATGGCCACCAGCTCTGTCGGCTGACCTGGCGAAGTCGATCTAACGTGAGAAGGTTCTCCACTGCCAGCACGCTCCTGAGGTATTTCTCAATATATGCCTCCGAGTCAGCAGAAGCCGTGTTTTCAACATTAGCTGCCATTCTTGCTAATGCTTCTCGTTCCTCTACTCCCTGGGCATCCTGGAGAATGGAAAATTGTATATTAAAATTAAGTACCTTGCAGAAGAAAATGTTACAAAAGCTTCCTGATTATACAAATACACACAAGAGTACTGAACGAACAAATGGGATGTATTCCAAATTCCATTTTAAAGTCAGCTTTCAGAACTCAAAATGCATTTTCCCACAGAAATCATGGTATAAATGGTGGTTCGGTTCACTTGAAAGGCTGGTTAAACACAGAGCAGCTGAAACACAGCACGTTTTCAACAAAACTGTTCTCTCCTACATTTCCATTGCAAACAAAGACATTCCTGGTTAGAAAGGATTTGGTGGGCTAGCTGGAAATCTAACCACAATAGTACTTCCTGAACATATCTTGGGGGGCCAGAGGGAGGACTGAGGAGCTGGGGTAACAGCTGGATACGTGTGGGATCCAAACAACCCCTGCAGGAGACAGACACAGGTATGGAGGCTAAGAATGGAAAGAAGGGCTGGGTTCCAACCCTTTTGCTAAGCAGCCTCCCACAGACTACATATTCCAAGTGTGGTCTCAATCCCCAACTCTGCAGTGACAGAGGCCGAAGGCTGGAAGCTGACCAAGAAGAGAAGTAACTAAGCAAATTCTCACTCACCCAGCTCCCTGGACATAACTGGTCCAGGCATATAAATGGGATGTTTGCAAGTCAGGGAGGGACTTTGTTAATGTAGTCAGGTATCTCAAGCTCATGTGGCTCATAACAAAGTACTCTTCTCAGGAAAAATGAGATACTTTTTTTACTGGTGAATTTGTTATAGTAACATCAAAGACTACAAAATATATATCCGCATGCCACTGCATCTTAAGATACCATCGACTTTAAGAAAAGACATATACCACTAAGGAGGGAAAAAAACTCTGCCAATTAACGTTAAGATATCATCAATTATAAGACACATTCTAACTTCAAAAATATTTTTAAAAATTTACATAAGCCTTACGGGCTTCCCTTGTGGCACAGTGGTTAAGAACCTGCCTGCCAACGCAGGGGACACGGGTTCGAGCCCTGGTCCGGGAAGATCCCACATGCCGCAGAGCAACTAAGCCCGTGCACCACAACTACTGAGTCTGCGCTCTAGAGCCCACGTGCCATAACTACTGAAGCCCGTGCACCTAGAGCCCGTGCTCCACAACAAGAGAAGCCACCACAAGAAGCCCGCACACTGCAATCAAGAGTAGCCCCTGCTCACCGCAACTAGAGAAAGTCTGCGTGCAGCAATGAAGACCCAAGGCAGCCAAAAATAAATAAATAAAATAAATGAATTTATTTTAAAAAATTTACATAAGCCTTAGAATGGATAAAATATGGAAAAATTCAGAAGACAGCTTAAGTTCACAAAACTTTTGTCTCCTACAGTAATTCGTTTGGGCCCAGGAATCATCCTCATTTTACAAATGAGGAAAGAGGAAGGTCGCATAATTAGCAAAAGAAGCAAGACTAGAATTAGGTCTCCTGACTCCTGATAGAGTATTCTTTTAACCACTGAATATCCTGATTTTCTAAGAAAGAGGATACCTGAGTTTTAAAGAAATGTATATATTATATATCCATGTTATCCACACAAGAAATAAAACATTTCCATTTCCTCAGAAAGTTCGACCCCTACCCTTCCCCCAAGGCAAGGTCGTTTCTTTCACCACAGATCAGTTCACCTGTTTTAGAAGTTCACATAAATGGAGTGACACCCTTTGGCGCCTGGCTTTTCACTTAGCATAGTGATTTAGAGATTCGTTCACACAGTTCATTTCTTTGTACGGCTGAGTAATACTCCACAGTATGGAGATGCCACAATTTATGTATCCATTTGTCTGTTGATGGATGTTTGGGTTGTTTCCAGTTTTAGGTTATTTTGAATTAAGCTGCTTTGTATATTCCTGTGCAGATCTTTATGGATATATGCTTTCACTTCTCTTGGGTAAGGACCTAGAAGTAGAATTACTGGGTCACGGGGTAGGTGTCTATTTAACTTTATGATCAGCTGCCAGTGGTGGTATCATTTTACACTCCCATTAGCAATGAAAGCATTCTAGCTGCTTTAAAAAAAAAAAAAAAAAAGGAAGAAAGGTGAAACCATCTCTTGTTGCTCTCTGGTCTATGACTACTTCTTTTTGCTACCAAGCCCTCAAAGCTCCTGTAATATGGAACACAAAGAACTTTTCCAGGCTTTTTCATGATGAATTCTAGCTTTTAAGAAGCTTTCTATTTTATTTTGAAATAAAAAATAAACTAGTGTAGTCCTTACACTATAAGCTTTAAGTCTCACTTTTCCTTTGTCTTTATCATCAGGATTTGATAATGTGACCCTAACACTTCCCAACTTAGACATTTAGCTAATTATTAATAGGTAGCCCCATCACGTGAGGCTATGTGTTTATCTTTCCGCTGATTTCCCCACATTTCTGCCCTTTGAAAAACCGCATCACCTGAAGAATAAAAGCACTGTTAAAGAAGATAAGAAAACTACAAATGGGGGACTTCCCTGGTGGTGCAGTGGTTCAGAATCCACCTGCCAATGCAGGGGACACGGGTTCGAGCCCTGGTTCAGGAAGATCCCACGTGCCGCAGAGCATCTAAGCCCGTGCGCCACAACTACTGAGCCCGCGTGCCACAACTACTGAAGCCCGCACACCTAGAGCCCATGCTCCACAACAGAGAAGCCACCGCAATGAGAAGCCAGCGCACTGCAATGAAGAGTAGCCCCCGCTCGCTGCAACTAGAGAAAGCCCACACGCAGCAATGAAGACCCAACACAGCCAAAAAAAACTACAAATGAGGAGAGAAGAGAAGAAAGATGATGCGAGAAAAGGAAAAACTGAAGATAGTTCACTACAAGTGTCACTGTTTCTCAACTGCATTCAAACCGTTTTATAGAGTTAAGATCTGAAACAACTGGAAAAAAGAGCAAACACTCAGATACAGAGAATAAACAGTAAATCTCTAACCCCACATCTAAGTATACAAAGAGTAATATATTCCAGATCCAAGATTTTGCAGCTTGTCTAACTCGAAAAGGGGCTCAATTTTTAAATGGTCAGCAGGCTCCAAATTAAATAAACAGTTAATATGTGCTATGTAAGCCTAATACTTTGAAGGTCCAGGCAAGGATTAGTCACTATTTGACATTATTTGAGAGGAAGAGTGTTCTGTGATATTAAGTACTCTAAAACAAAGCCTAAGTGCTGTGCAATCTTTTCACTCTTCCAAAACCTGATCTGTCTTAAAATACATATTGTCCATCTATTGTTCAAATAATCAACAGAATCAATCAACAAGCACTGAGCCCTTGAATCAAGAGAATGAAGGCACCATGGATGGTGTGCTTAGGAGGGAGCGCTCGCCCCAGGGTCCCATTCCCATTTTCCACCCCAAGGGCAGCACAGCCTGGACCTCCCCACTCACTCCCTGATTCTGGGTAGTCAATGTGGCAGAAGGAGCCACTCTTGTCTTTTCTGTTGGGTCCTTTTCTTAGACCCCTCACTTTTCCTACTCGTGTAAGGAAGGCCTTGTTACTAGCTATGCCAATAACCAAGTGCACAAATCTGTCTAAATCAGGAATTAAGTACTAGGAAGCACATATAAACTACATCCTCCAGCAAGCTCCTGTCAGGGGTATTTTCAGCTCTATCTGTTTGATTCCTGTGCATATCTGAATTAGCTCAGAAAGAGAAATAATAATAGTAACTATAATAATAATAGCAATTACAATTTATTGTTTAGCATGTACACAATTTGTGTATATTGTCTCATTTAATCCTTAAAAAAAACCCTGTACAGAAGGTATCACTAACCCAATTTGATAAGTGAAAAAATTTAGGCTCAAAGTAACTTACCCAAGTTCACGTCACTAAGAGGTGACAGAAACAAGATTTCTGTTTCATTCCAAAATGAAACCCTGAAACTCTATGTTATGCTGTGTTGCCTTCCTTCAAGGGTTATACCCTCTTCTGTGGGTAAAAAGGTGTTGATTTGCTTTTCAAAAGATTCTTCTTTAACAAAATACTAAAACCAAAACCTTTAAAGCCACACAAGTACATTTTACTCTGAATCAAGTTAAGATTAGGAAATTCCTCTACAAATCTATAACATTTTCCTAAATATACATTTTCATTTAACACACATTTCTTGCATAGGTGACTTTTCAGGGAGTTTGCTCTTTCTACATGTTTATTTTTAGTATATTCAAATTTCATATGATCCTTCACCTCTGGAATATTGGAGACAATTTCAAAGGTCACTCCACAGCCTGGAATAGAACTTCGATGTGACATCTTTTTTAGGAGACTCTGAGCAAAACCCTAGAGAAAAACAAAACAGAAGACATGGTTTCCCACCTCAAAAACTGAGTTTTCATTAACAAAGAGACAGCATAAACGACACCACATTCACTCTAACCAAAAAGGAAAAGAACATACTTCCAATATAAGTCAGAATCCAAATCACTACATATAAGTTCCTCAACTTTGTCTTAGTGCCCCAAAACAATTTATATGATGCCTGCCACGTGACAGGTCCCATACCGAATATATGAAAAGTACAAACCCTAAACTCTGGAACCACACTAGGCATCTGGTTCAACTCTGCTGAAAGCCTACAGAAATAAGACTGTTGACTTCTACAAGATAAAATGACCTTCTAACAAAGATGTAAGGAAGGGCTGGTGACCCTTATCCTTTTTTTTTCTTTCCAGCACGATGGACATCTTGCACTATGAATATTGACAAGTCCAGGCATTAATTCTTGACCAAAGCAGGATCGTTATGAAGAATGATTTAAGAGTGCATGGTCATTGTTTATGCTGACTGTGCTCTTTGCACGGTTAAGAATTGAACTACTGAATTAATGCATAGATGACTCATTTGAAGATGTTGCTAAGACTGAACATCCTGTAGAGGTTAAAGGGAGCACGGATGAGGGCAGAATATAATTGGTGAATAAAGATAAGAATAAGAGAGAATATTAAGCTGACACTGAACCTTTTTCCCTCATGCAAAAGCCAAGTAGGAAATAGGTAAAAGCCCCCAAACAGAATAGGAAAAAAACTGTTTGGTCTCAGAAGTACATATTTTCACAAACTTAATAATAATTCAGTGATCTTTAGTTAACTTTTTAAAAGATTTTAGCCTCTTAGAATGCAAGAGCCTCTTAGAATGCATTTATCTCATCCCTTCGCTCTTGAATCCAGACTTATAAGGTGGCACAATGGTTAGGAATCTGCTTACCAATGCAAGGGACATGGTTCGAGCCCTGGTCTGGGAAGATCCCACATGCTGTGGAGCATCTAAGCCCGTGCGCCACAACGACTGAGCCTGCACCCTAGAGCCCGCGAGCCACAACTACTGAGCCCACGTGGCATAACTACTGAAGCCCGTGCGCCTATAGCCCGTGCTCCACAACAAGAGAAGCCACCGCAACGAGAAGCCCATGCACAGCAACCAAGAGTAGCCCCCGCTCACTGCAACTAGAGAAAGCCTGCATGTGCAATGAAGACCCAATGCAGCCAAAAATGAATAAATAAAATAAATTTATTTAAAAATAGACTTCCGAGAAAAGAGAGACCAAGAAAAGAGTGAATGGGAGACACGGCATATACATACATCTACAGCTATGCCATGACCTGTATGTACTGATGCTCGATCGCCAAGCTAAAGAGCTGCAATTTTAACAGCATCACTGCCGGTCTTCATTCAAAGATTGATATCAGTGTGACATTTAGAACTAAAGATTAATTTTTAGGGGTGGAGATTACATCCAGGACTCTGTCAACCGTGACTGTACTCTTCTAAATGAAAAGATTTATTTTCATTTGTCCTGGTTTTAGCCAGTGTATTGAGAAGAACCCCTAGAATCAACCTCCCAAATCGTATCATTGCAGAACCAACAGCAGAAATCCTTTATATTCTTATCTAGAAGTTTTCTACTAAACTGGTTCATACGGCACAAGGTCCTTCATAACCTAGCTGCAACTGTGTTGATGGCCACAGCCGCGGCCTCTGCAGCACACCCCGTCACACTCTGCTTCTAACGGTCCCCAAGCTGCCACGCCCTTTCCTTCCTCACCACCTCTGCATGGATATTTCCTCCTCTCGGTGAAATAGCCAGCGACTCCTCTGCCTGCCAACCACCCCTGCCTGCAACGGAGCAGCTCACATGCCCCCTCCTCTTTGAAGCCTTCCCTGACTGCACTCTCACCCTCTGAGCTGCACTGCCACAGTAGAAGAGAGTCGTCTGCTTATACACTCATAGGCCAGTGGACACTGGCTCTTTAAGGATGCAGATTATTTCTTATTCATCTTTTTACCCCAAAGCTTGACAGAGTACTCTCTCCAAATACACAATCAATGAACCGGCAGAGAGGACTGAAAGAAAAGAAAGGCACGGAAAACGAAATGGTGAACAGCACAAACAACAGCTCATCTGTGGTGAACATTCTCATCTTGTAGGACCCAGATGAAGAGTCAAAGACAAAAACAGTGAGCTTCGTCTTGACAGGGCCCTATGGCACCCAAAGGAAGGGCTGTGAGCTGTGCCTCTGCAGTAACAAAGATTCAGGGTAACAATTCAGGGTCGTCTAGGAGGAAGTCAGGCTGACGGGTTCCAGGATTGAAGCAAGCACGGTTATAGGACAGCAAGAGTCAACCGAAAGAGAAAAGCTCAGAGCTTCACAGAGCCTGGGGGGACAGGAGGCCAGAGCAATCCTTCCACAGCCCCGCCCTCGTGTCTGACCCAAAGTCATTTCTTCAACTAGGATCAATGACTCACCTGCCGGCCGTGAACACTGACACAAAGGCGCTTGCGTAATACCAACTGCATGTCGGCTGGATGGCTGAGCTGGACCGTCACCCGCACGATGAGAAACACTCGCTCATCCGCGGGCGTGCCTTTACTCAGCTGAGGGCAGTTGTGCACTGCGGAGTCCCAGGAGGCTTCCGCTTTCACCTGCAGAGAAGACAGAACAGTCACCCCCTCCTCCTAAAACACAAAACCCCACAAGGAAACATCTTGGCTTAGGCTGAAGTGGAGCAGGCCACTCAATGAGTGCAGCTCTGCTAAGAGAAGTGCCCTGGGAGACCATGGGAATCCCAGGATGTGGCCTCAGGCACCTACTCGAGGGAGTACAGAGCAGGCTGTTCCTGGCCGACAGCTAAAATTTATTTATTTTGAAAAATACTCAAACGTAAAAGTCGCAAATTGAGTACAATGAACTCCTGTATTTCTTTCAGGTAGATTCACCACCTGTTAACATTTTGCCCTTTTCCCTCTCTCTCACACAAACACACACAGTATTGCTGTTGTTTTTTGGGTTTTTTTACTGAACCGCTTTAGAGTAAGTTATAGGCAGGTAACTCTGCATCTCTAAATACTTCAGCAAGTATCTTCTAAGAGCAAGGACATCCTGTAACTTAACCATAGGACAATTATCATATTCGGGAATTTAACATCAATACAATACTACTATATAATACAGAGTCCATATTCAAATGTTTCAACTGTTCTGACCCAGGATCACAAACTGCATTTAGCTGTCCTGTTCTTTTAGTCTACTTTCATCTAGGCTGGTTCCCCAGGCTTTCTTTGTCACTCACGGCACTGACTTATTAAAGACGGGTGCAGGTCCACTGTTTTACAGAATGCACCGCAGTTCAAGTTTTGCATCTTCAGAATACCACTCACTATGTGATGATGTGTCCTTCAGAGTATCACGTCGGCTTTCCTTCCTTAATATATTTTATAATTTTTCCAATATGCTCAAAATTAGAAAATAAGCCCCCAGTGTATACCCATCACTCAGATTCAAACATTATCATGTGTCTTCATCTATTCTTTTTCTCCCTTATTAAGAAGTCTTCACTAAAGCATTTCGAAGTCAATCCCAAACACTGTGCCATTTTACCTCTATGTACTTCAGGAGCATTTCCCCAGAGAGTAGACCACTGCTGACCTGAACTATGAATTACTAACAAAGATCCTTCACCAGGAAAAGAAGTAAAACAGTGAATGGATGTGGTCTGATTGGTCTACTCCTTCTGGAAGTGGTTCCCTTCTTTCTGGAAATCATATTGAAAGGTTTTCATTTATATTTCTTGAGAAATGTAAGCACTGAAATGATTACCTTGCTGATTGTTTTCAAAGGCTCATGGAAAGGTTAAAGAAACTACTTTTCATCCAGTCTTCCCGAGTTATGCTTTATTTACCTCTCCATCATGCTGTTTGACAATCTGCAGTTCAAAGAACTCGTCCTCTTCTTCTCCAGTCAGGGTAGCATCCCATCCACCAGCTTCTGGGTCATCAAGATTATCCTGAGAGCTGAAATCATCAGCTAAAAGCAGAGAAGTTCCATTCAGTATGGAGATCATTTTAAAGGATAACCCCTACCAGCTAAATTTCAACGTGCTTAGTAGCAGAATTCTCCTGCCTCAAATTTCATTTGCTTTTTGGCTCTGAAATCTTACATCACACAGATGATGACCATTAAACAGTTCACGGATCTTAGAGATGGAAAACGCCTCAAGAAATTATCTAAATCCAATCTCCTACCTCCGTGCCTTATTTTACATGGAAGGCAACCGAAGCCAAGAAACCCAAGAGGTTACACCAGGTCAGCCCATAAATGGTAATGATAGCATTAGAACCCCAATTCCCCGTCTTTTAGTGTGAAGAAATGAGAGTGACAGTGATTCCAATCATCCGACAGTTAAGAAACTGAAGGGCTGCCCTGTGGCCCTTTGGTTATTCATCTCCAAGCCTGGCCCTCCCAACTCCCTATGCATCTTAAGCTTGCCAGTAAACGTCGAAAGTATTTCTTCTAGTACGTGGGCTTGTGTGGACCAAGAACGGGCATAGGCCGAACAGGGTGCTGCTCCTGTCTTGGAATATCCATACTAATAGGTCTTCTTGAAGCTTATTCTCTTCCACTTTCTAACCCTCCTACACACACACACCCCTCACCTATCTAGGAACCTCGGGTAAGAACAAGACAGAGTCGCCCTCAGTCTCCAAGGCTCAAGAGAACAAGGAAGGATAGAGTGCTGTGGCAATACATTAAAACCCCGACAGGTGGATGTACGGTGCAAGTGGCTAAGTGCTCTTCTCTGACTCCGTGTGTATGTGAAAAACTCTCACAGGTCCAAGTAAGCCAAGCAGCACGGGACGCTCAATACCTGAGATGCTGTAACGCACTTTCAGGGCAGAAGAAAACCACTGAGGACATCCCAGCTTGCCTATTTAGGATGGTTCATTTTAATACACAGTTCTTCTGCAGATGCCTTTGGAATTTAAATGCTGACTTTCAAACTTATTTTTAGCTCTTTAATCTACCTTTTCATTTTTATTTCCCTCCTCAGACAGAATATTTGTAAAATGTAGCCACTTACAAAATATTTTTGAGGGGGAAAAAATGACATTTAAAAAAAAAAAAAAAAAGGCAACGCAGTGATGAATGGCACAAGAACTCACAGATAAAGTGAGAAATTCATTAGGTAATGCTAAGAAGACACCAGATAAAAGCAACATGCTACATAAGCATCACTAGTTATTAGTCCTTTCTGGAGAGGAGTCCTCCTGAGAATTAAAGAAGAAAATATCTTAAGTGTGGAAAACATTACTGCCATCCTAAACAGATGGGAGAACAAAGCACACAAAGCAGTATGGGTTGTAGAATGAAATGTGAGAACACATCACGATGAGACATACCTATCACTGTTAAAAAAAAAATACTGTTCTTACAGGAAATTCATTCTTTGTCAAGGATTAGAGTCCTTTGGCACACATAAAACAGACCCAAACCTTAGGCTTACAGAATTGCCTAACTGCATAGTTTGTTAGAATCTAAGTGTTACTTGGACACTAATTTGTCAGAGTTGCCTTCGGAAGGCACCTCTTAACTTACCATTTAAGTCAAGGAATATAACGGGAATGTGTGTTTCCATCCCAGGAACCGGCGTCCTAAAACATAACGAACAACAGCATCTCAAATAAAGCAGCCTTTCTCAGCGGCATGTGCTTCACGACTCAGCCTTCATACATTCAGAGCAATTACAGGTCAACCAATGATAATTCTGGGTACTGGGTTAGCTATAATTTCACATCAGAGATGCCACAAAGACTTAACTGCCACTGCTGCTTCTTTTCTCTGGTGCTTCCATGTATAATTATAATTATAATTATAATTATCATACGCTCTGATATTAGAACTTAGTCAACTTAGTTGAAGCTCCCTTGTTTAAACGTACTTTCTTATAAAGTTATATACCTAAGGGCCCCATGTGGCTTAATTTACTATTTTTAATTTCTATAAAGTGGCAGAGAACATTTGCTGACAGTTCAATCTAGTACCAAAATCAAAAACACCTGGTGATGCAATTTTATTATGACTGAATAGTCTTTTAAGGGAATGACCCAAGTAATTAACATATTAACTATTTTTTTAAATGCTAAGTGCAATGGTACTAAATATTGATTTAGATTCTCAGGAATCTTAATTACTTGGGCCAAAAACAATATTACTTAATAAAACGGTTTTAGGCCACAGTTATTCCAACTCATGAAAATAATTTAACACCTCCTCTAATTAAAACAACTTTTTTCCCCACACGCTATGGTAAGTCATCCATTAATCAAAGCAGAGGCAACACACATAGAGAAAGTGGGCAGCTCCGTGAGCACAGAGAACTACAGAAGACACAGGGCAGCACCCATACCATTCTGCCGGGGCCCCTGGGATCCCACTGCCAGCTGAGGGAACCATGACTGCGTTCCTCTCCTCAGTCAGAGTCAACCTCATCTCTAGTAGTTGAGCTTCACGGTCAGCATCATCCTCTGTTTTATCTAGAACATCAAGAATGAGGATCAAATACAGGGGTCCCACTTCTTACCTGCTGTTTACGCTTTGTCCTACGTTATCCACAGGATGTTCCCATATTCCATGTATTGGTTGAGGAGGGTTCACTAGCAACTTAATACTTCCCTAATTCGTGATAAAAAGCTCATGATAAAAAACTAACTATAAGCTAGCGAAGCTGGTGTGCTCTCACAGAGAGGCCGTCTTCAGTTCATGGAAGGCCTACGGTGGAACAGCACAGGGATGATCTCTTCGAGAGTCAGAGGGCTCAAGTGCCTCTGGACCAGAAATCAAGAAATGTGAGCATCTTCCTTTAGTTATTTTTGAGGGACAATGTTTACTGCACGTACTCTATTTCCTCTTTGTTGGGGGGGAAGGGAGACCTATGCAAAGACATCCTTACAAGTGGATAACTGTCCTTTTGAAAGGATGTGACACAAATAAGCACCATTCCTATGTTCTCGCCATTCCCACTACTGATGTGTTCGTCTACTTTTATTTCATGTAACTGCAAATGGGAAGTAACAGCACACTGAATTGGGGTGGGGGGGAATATTAGAAGTTGCTTTTCATACCATGTTTACTGACAAGCTTTTGCAGTTGTTGATCTAAGTACTCCTGACGCTTTGTTAACACATTTAGCCATTTTCTACGTAGTCTCTCTAAATCCCGATCCTAGAAGCAAACAAGGGGATTATAGTAAATATAACGTCAAGACAATATATCTGAAACCGATACTCTATCTTACCTTACTCTAATATGCTTCAAAAATGTAAAGTATTATACCCTAACATTTTTATTACCACTACTAGTTGAATCCAACCATTATTCAGAATAGAAACTTTCAGAAATTAAAGCATTACTGTACTAGAGTAACACCATTTCTGAAAGGGCACTCTGATAATCCAGAACCAGTTTTTCCCTTTTTTTATTTTTATTTTTTTTGCAGCACGTGGGCCTCTCACTGCTGTGGCCTCTCCCGATGCAGAGCACAGGCTCCAGATGCACAGGCTCAGCGGCCATGGCCCACGGACCCAGTCGCTCCGCGGCACACGGGATCCTCCCGGACCGGGGCACGAACCCGCGTCCCCCGCATCGGCAGGCGGACCCCCCAACCACTGCGCCACCAGGGAAGCCCCAGAACCAGTTTTATTTCTATTGGCTCAAAGGGTAGAACTCCAAGCACTCATGCAGCTAATATCTTCTACAAGGTCTCTTTGCTGGATAAAAATCACAAATACTACTCGATAATCCTCAAATTTATATCCCTTAGAACCATCAGAAGAACTCTTCAGATTTCTTAACTACAGCCTTCAACATGTTTCACCAGTATCTACAAATCATGTAAATGCTTCTCTCCCTAGTTTCTGTTGGGTTTCTTTTTTTTTTGGGGGGGGGTGGCAGACGGGATGTTACCAACAGACTAACAACTCTACCAGTCAACACCTGACTGTGCTCCCATCTTACCTCATTTCCTTCTGTAATAAAGTTACGTGACTGGGTAGATCAGTGGAATGCTGAGCATATTGGGAGTATCTGGATTTCACTAAGGCACTTAACCAAATAGCTCATGACATTCTTATGGACAAGAAGAAGAAATGTGCAATGGATCTACTTGGAAGAAATTATAGAAGACTGAAATATCACATCCAAAGAATAGTGATTAATGGAATAACGTCAGCTTAAAAGAATTCCCTACGGTTGTGCCACAGGACTCTGTATTTAACCCTCAATACTTTTATCAGCAACTTATAGGAAAGCAGACATTTTTATCCAATTAGAATGAAGCCAAACCAGGAGGGTGACTGCACTGGCTGACATAATCAGGATCCGAAGAGCTCTGACGGTGCTAAACGATGACTAACCAGACTCACAAAATAAAATTTATCAGACGTAAACAAAATCTTGCAGGAGATTAGGGAAAGGGGGGTGGGGGGAAAAACAAAACAAAACCTGTATGACTCCAGGAAGTAGGGAAAGGAGACCTGGCTTAAAGTATGGAAAATACCTAAGGGGCGTGGCTTGACTGAAGCCAAGTCTGTAACAGCTCTTCCAGGGAAAAAGGAGAGAACAAGTGCAAGGAAGAGGACCTGAAGAATGGATCTGCAGGGGCCTGGATGGGCAGCTCCAGGTTTGGAAAAGGATAACAGTCACAAATGATTGTTCCCTTCTGTTTTAACTTGAGACAAAGCAATATTTGAATCAAAACTAATTGTGTAGTTACGAAGTAACAGTATGGCAAGACTCAGGAATGTGTAATTTAGTACTTTAATCGAGCTTATTTGACTAGGATAACACGTGCTTCATTACCTGGTAACTGTCCATGTCCTCCTCTTCCTCCTAAGAGAAAAAATATATTATGCAGAGCCGAAACAATCATTTATCCAAGAATCAGACTACGCTAAACAAGTTTGAATCTTCTCCCATACTTTATATTTTCTACTTTAACGAATACGCTTTTTCATCTCCCACCCACGCTCACCCTCACTCTGGGTTTTACAGTTTTCAGGTAGTTGGAGTGAAACCTTGAGCTTCTCATAGCAAAGTGAAGAACCTCATTTGACCTTTTCAGGGAGCTAGTACAATACTCTCCCCCTGCTGGGTTTATAGTCCCACTCCCCAGGGGAAATCAAACACCTGCTGGCAAATAGTCTTTATGAGCCAGCAGGGGGTTTCTGCAGAGGGGTGGGGGGGGGCGGAAATCAGGCACTGAGGAACTCCTGGAGGCTGAGATGTTTTAACCCTCAGTTTGCCGTGTACCAGGGAAAACCAACAAGCTGGTGCAGTGGTTCCACGCAAATGCATTACAGTTAAAAAAAAAAAAAAAAAGAAAGAAAGAAAAGAAAAGGAAAAAAGATATCCAAGAAAATAAAACTGAAAGAATTGTTTGTGGAAGGCAGTTTTCTGACAGGTTCCAAAAGACTCTCTTGTCTGGCTGAGTCTGTCAACAGAGACTTACATGGATGGTTTCATGCGTCTTGGCCGATCTCGGCGCCCTGACTTTTACACATCCAATGCCAACAGACAATATACATTCTTCCATCAGCGGTAAAGTCCCAGACTCCTGCACAGACTTCACTTCCACTTGGACTCGCCGGGACTGCCCCTGTATCACAGACAATTTTAAGAGTTTCTCAAAATCGGTTTGATTCCCAAAAATTTGGTTTAGAGAGACCCCTACAGGCTGATGATGAGAAAAGCATTTATCTTTAGAGATGCTATCTCACCGTATCTTACATGTTTAGTAGTAAATTACAAATTCAAAAACTAATCAGGAACAAATATATGGCTTAGATATTTTTTCCAACAAAAAAAAACTTTAAAACAATCTAACAAAGGAAATACAAAAGGCTAGACAATATAAAATGTTCCACTTACTAATAAGCAAATTAAAATAAGCATGAAACACCTTTATTTTCACTTACTAAGCTAGCAATTATCTTTTAAAACGACAATTTACAATATTGCCCAAAGTTTACAAAAAAGGCAATTACATACACTGTTGGTGGGAATATAAATCGGTAAAGCTTTCTGCAGGGCAATTTGCCTTAAAAAATAAGTATCCCTTGACCCAGCAATTCAACTTTCTAGGAACCTGTTTTAAGTAACCATATATGTACATAAAGACTCTTACAGCAATGTTAAGAATAACAAGAAATTAGAAGCAAATTAAATGTGTATCATTGATAACTGCTTAAACTATAGTATATTAATGAAATATTTACATGGTCATTAAAATATTGCTATAGAAAAACATACATGATATATAAGTTAAAGAGTACAGTGACAGATGTTAACTAGACTTCTTTTACAAAAGCAGATTACCAAAGCCAGTATATATAGTATGATCCACTTCAAAAAATAAGCAATCAGAATAATAAGAATGATTACACTATCCTGAATTCACTGCTCTCATCCCAAAACAAAATAATTTTAAGCCAAGTTGCAAAATGAAGAATTGATCAGAAAGAAACTGTTCCTTCTTTAAGCATGTTTTCACAATAAACACTATGTGACTTTGAATATTTACAATGAAGTAATTTTTAAAAGAAAATTCTCAGTATCCCCAATCACTGACTTCAAAGTTGGTTTATAAATTCTAGGAATGTAAAATAGAATTTGAAAAACAGAATCTCAACATGTAATTTCAAGTCAGTTACCCTTCCCCTCTTCCATCGGATTTTAATTCCCAAGAGCTTTGTATCATCAGGAAAATCAGCTTAGGCAATGATTGATCCTATCAAGCTAGATTTAAAGAGATGGGTTGCAGATGTCTTTAATATTTTCCGAGGACCATGCATCAGATATTTTGTGCAAAGAGTTAACTCAGAAAACATTTTAATTGTCTGAAATACTTTAGTCATTTCAATTAGCTACCTTTGGTTTTCACTTTGCCTGAGACAGGAAGTGACCTATTCTGAATGTGCGCCCAAACGTGAAGGGTGAAGTACCTACACTTTGGGGGAGAATACAGGATAGAGAGAGAGAAAAATGGAGGGAAAAGATCCAGGAATGGCTTAATGCTTCACAGAAAAGCTTTGAACAGCTTTACGAATACATAAACTATTAGTGAACTTCTTGTAACTGCCGATATTTGACTATTTTTTAACTACAAAACTAGCAAATGCATGCAGTTAATCTAATCAGTTCTCCTCTGCTACTTTCCTGTTGGAGAACAACAGGTTCCAATTTTGAATTCTAATAAGTCTACCATCCAAGGCCCTCCATGAACTAGCTGCCCCAAGCCTCTATAACCTCTTCTGTTACTGTTTCTAGCTCTTCCTACAAGTTACTGATACTTTCTACCCAAACTTACCTAATTCCACCCTCTATCTTTATTCCTGCCATTTATATATGAAGAACCCTTCCAACATGATTCTTTCACCACCCAGGTCAAGATGCACATCCTTCAAAAAAGCCTCTCCTGATATACCCAAGATATCTTTGAACACTTTTAGTAAAGGTTGCCAGAAGTGTGAAAAACACTTAAATATTCAATTTATACTAAACCACAGAAAATTATCTGGTCTTGCCTTCCGGGAGATGAAGAATTTCTAAGGCATCCAAAGAGGATATATATAGTTTTAACAGATGTTCAGGAAAAGATGTTCTTCACACCCTTATGAATCCTATTTTATGTATATATCTCACACTATATTTTAAACTAATTTCCTTTTGCTTTTAGTGCCTTGTCTATACATGAATGGATTTGCTAAAATTCATTTGCTAGGGTCAGAGAACAAGTGCTTATCATTTTCCTCCTCCTAAGACATTCAGAAACTTATTTAAGCAAACTTTTTCCTTTAACCTTTTCTCATATTTTGCTTTGAATGATTTCAACATTCATTTTCTTGAGCCATTCTAATATTTTACTACTGTTTTAAAGTATGGAAACTATCACAGGCAATAATATTCTACTAAATGTTGACTTCATGTAAAGAATAGCAAACAAGAGTATTTCTAAGTCTTACATGTAAATTCTATTAAGATACTCTCTCTCATCTTTAATTTGCAGCACAGATACTACAGATCACATCTGTCTGGGGTTAAGTGACAAGTCCCACACGTGTCTCTGCTGTATTGGTTTCTGGCAGGTATTCACATCTACCTAGCTGCATTTACTTAACGTGTCCTATTTACCTAACGTGTTAAGTAAGATAGAAAAGATATTTGGTCTTTGTCCTCAGTTCCTGGCACAGAGCTCCTAAAACTCTTGGAATTTCTTTAATGATAAAGGTGATAGGTGCGTCTTTTAACGATGTGACTTTTCATTTGGTCACTCTAGGCAGATCCCTAGGTGGCTTCAGGATTGGGGCTGGTCACCAGGAAGACCAAGCCTAGATCAGAAGGTTGGAACTTTCAGCCCTACGCCAAAACCTCAGGGAGAGAGAAAAAAGGGGCTGGAGATGGGGTTAATCACCAAAGGCCAGCGCTGTCATCCACCACGCCTACGTAAAAACCTACTAACGATGGGGTTAGAGCTTCCTGGCTGGTGAACACGTCAGGTGCTGGGAAGCTGGCGCAGCGAAGGGCACACGGCAGCTCCTCATCCTTCCTCCACACCTTACCCCATGCAGCTCTTCCGCTTGGCTGTTCCTGAGTTGTATCTTTTGCAGTAAACTGGTAACAGTAAGCAAAGGGCTTTCCTGAGTTTTGTGAGTCATTCCAGCAAACTATGAAACCTGAGAGTTGCGGGAACCCTCAACTGTAGCCAAGTAGGACAGAAATGTGGGTGACCTGGGGCCCTGATACTTGCAGCTGGCGTCTGAAGTGAGGGCAGTCCTGTGTAAGTCTGGGCCCTTAAACCTGTGGAGTGTGATGCTCGCTCTGGGTAGTTAGGGTCCAAACTGAACTGAATTACAAGACACCCAGTTGGTGCCTGCAGAGAAGCAGAGAACTGGTGGGCATCAGAGGGAAAAACACTTCTCATCTCCCATGTATCAAGCACTGGGCTCCATATAGTATTTCTTTTTTTTTGCGGTACGCGGGCCTCTCACTGTTGTGGCCTCTCCCGTTGCAGAGCGGGGGCTCCAGACGCGCAGGCTCAGATGCCATGGCTCACGGGCCCAGCCGCTCCACGGCATGTGGGATTCTCCCAGACCGGGGCACGAACCCGTGTCCCCTGCATCGGCAGGTGGACTCTCAACCACTGCGCCACCAGGGAAGCCTCATATACAGTATTTCTAATCCTCACAATAACCCTACAAAGTTGGTGTTATCACCCCGCTCCACTTTACACCTGAGGAAAGGTTCCGGGAGGTGACTGAACTTGCTCACGGATATACAGCTAGGCCATGGGACAGCCAGAACCAAACCCCAGAACGTTAGACTCTGAAGTGCTTGTTCTTTCTGCCATGTCACACAGCCTCTCCTTGTCTTTATAAATGTTCTAATGCTGCTTGATACGTTTGTTTTATTTCCTACAGTTCAATTCTAAGTCACTTTAAAGCTTATCTTTTTCTTTTTTTAAAAAAAAATATTTATTTATTTGGTCGCACTGGGTCTTAGTTGCAGCAGGTGGGCTCCTTAGTTGCAGCACGTGGGCTCCTTGTTGCGGCTTGCTGGCTCCTTAGTTGCGGCATGCATGTGGGATCTAGTTCCCTTGACCAGGGATTGAACCCGGAACCCCTGTGCACTGGGAGCGCAAGTCTTACCCACTGTGCCACTAGGGGAGTCCCCAAAGCTTATCTTTTTCTTGCTTAAACTTCACAGAAGCTGGTTTTAAATACTGTAAACAGCTTTATTTTTGAAAATGAAAGAAAATACACATGAAGGGAGAGAAAACTTTAATAAGTAGTCTTGGCCAATCTAGATGTCATTATCCCTGATGTTTCTGCTAAAAGGAATCCAATATTAACCTTTACGACACCAAAGAATTCAATGTTAACATTAAAAATTTCATTACCTGCCGGAGTTGGAAGATTCCACCTGTTGGCACGTCCTTTGCAGGAATTACCTCTACAGGGCAGTATTCACCATTCTCATTCTGTTCCAAGATTTGAACCCAGAATTCCACTTTCCTGGTGACTTCGCTCCATCTAGGAAATAGTTGAAGTTCTTGGAAAATCATACATTTCTATTTCAATACAGGCAGCTTAGGATCCTACACATGAGAATTAATGATGAAAATATCCTCCAAACAGAATAACTCAGTAGAATTATCTGTAGTTCAGTGAGTAATACACAAATACATACTGGCAAATGTAATTAAAAGCAAAGTTCAACAAACAACATCAGAACTAAAAATGATGCCTTTATTTCATTCAAAAAGGTATGATAATTACAAATCTATTTCAAAGTGGTTATTCAAAAATTTAACCATTGTTATCAGAAGTACAGAAGTAGGTTGCAGTGATTAGCTTTTCATACAGCAAAGGTAGTGCTGTATGCTTTAGTGACTTGACAAGTATCTCTGCTGAGGTCAATAAGAGAATCAAAAAAAAAAATCCCAATGTCTAATTTAGTATTTGGTAAAACTTTCTAAATACAAAAAAAAGAAGAAAATCTGCTTCTCATCTATAATCAGATGCAGTACAAATATACGCTCTTTCAGTCTTTTCCTTTTAACTCTTCTGTTTAAAATCCTGGTCAACAAGTAAGCCTTCCTCCTTCCATGATTAATGCTACTTGAAAAGAACTTTGAGCTAAAGATAGAATAAGTAAGGGACTTCCCTGGTGGTGCAGTGGTTAAGAGTCCACCTGCCAATGCAGGGGACACGGGTTCGAGCCCTGGTCCAGGAGGATCCCACATGCTGCGGAGCAACTAAGCCCGTGCGCCACAACTACTGAGCCTGTGCTCTAGAGCCCACGAGCCACAACTACTGAGCCTGAGTGCCACAACTACTGAAGCCTGCATGCCGAGCCAGTGCTCCACAACAAAAGAGGCCACCGCAGTGAGAAGCCCGCGCACCGCAACGAACAGTAGCCCCCGCTCACCACAAATAGAGAAAGCCCGCACGCTATAACGAAGACCCAACACAGCCAAAAATAAATAAATAAATTTATTTTTTTTTAAAAACATGTAAACCTGAATTCCAGAGTATATCTTGATCTATTTTCTCTACAGATGATTAATTAGAAGTATTTCATAATGATAAGCAACCTATTCTCCAAAAATTCATTTCACACTTTATTCTTAACTACCGATTTCTTAACTTTTTCCCATCACTCTTCAAAGTTCACTCCTCCAAGGAAGTTTAACTGTGCTGTTAATACCGTGGACATAACACCAGCTATTACTGGAATACTGGTAATGCTCAGGAAGGGGTAACCTTTATAAATGACAATATTAATCTCTAGCAATTTTTTAAAATTATAAATGGAATCAGATGGATATCTAAAATTCACCTGTCCCGAAGGCTGCGTGTTTTTGCTTGGATAATCCCCAAATCCCACAGGGTTGGGTTTTTCCGAGGATCATTCATCTTATGGCCATAGACTTCAATTGCCAAAGCCCCTTCTGAAAGATGTTCGATAAAGTCTTCAGTGATGCCAACAGAAAATTCCTGAAAGGAAGTACAGAAGAAGAAAACACCTTCTGGTGATCTTACAATTACTTACACCTGACATATCTTCACTTCATTATGGAGAAGAGAGATAGAATGTTTTAGCCATAGGACAAAACTGTCATCCAACCCCCATAATGAATGCTCAGATGGCCCAAGGTTCTTAACTCTGATTTTTAAAAAACTTTTCACCTTGAATATCTATTGTGAAAGACCAGCACTGTATTCTATTTTGTTAGCAATATTTGGGGAGCTATTTTTGAAAGTATAAATAATTATATTAAGAATGACAACAATGATCTACGTCTTGATATAAAAGTTATTACATCCAGTAAGGCAGCAGTGTGTTGGAAAAACAATTTTTTTCCAGTTTTTAGGAAGTTAACTGTCTCCAATAATGAGAGAGAAAGGAAATATATACTGATCATCAGTGCAAATAATCACCTATTTTAAAAAAATTCTCCTACCTGTCCATCTTTGTACGATAGATGTAAAACAGCCTCTTGCAATAATTAGGATTAAGCTCTAAAAAAGTTTATTTTAAAAAGTCATAGAATCTCTCTCTCTCTCGATCTTTAGCACAACAAAAGTATTTCTGTTTTAAACAGATTAGAAAGAGACCTCTCTCGAAAAAAAAAAAATGAGATGGCTCAAGTGAGATAAAGTAGAAAAAGAGAATTTAGAATCTGACAGTCCCGGCTCTGCTAGTTACTAGCCATGGGCAAATGACCTCTGAACCGACTTCTTCAGCTAAAAAAAAGCACTGTCATCAAATACAACCGTGGGAAAGAGCAAATGAAAGAATCACAAAGTGCTGAACAGAACATTAGGGGCTCCACAATGCTAGTTCTTGTCTCCCTTCTATCTTCACTTTCTCTAAAACACTACTTTCCTAACCTTCCCAGATGACAGTTTCTCCAGTAACTCATACAAAACATGGATTCCTTCTGGAGAAGAGTAGACATATGTACATATAGTCACACAAAAGTTAACTTTTGAAGCTGGAGGAGTTACATGCACTGACACTATAGTTTTGCTTTTTCCCCCAGGCTTACAGAGATATAATTGACATATAACGTTGTGTAAGTTTAACACGTACATACAGTGTGTTGATGGCACTTTAGTCTTTGACTCCAACCCCACTCTAAGAAACTGATCCAAGACACAGACTGGTACCAAATTACTCAACAAAATATGGGTTGCTTTTTGTTTTGACCTGAGTAATTAAATGCTGCCCCAGTCTGGAAAACACACTTACATTGCATTGATCAAAGACAACCATGCACTGAGGTTCCTTGCTGACAGGAGAGGATGAGGTATCCACCTCGGGTGCAACAATTACCGGCTCCTGTTGATCCCAGAAGTTGTATTTGCAGAATACAAAGTGGGACAGATGCTGTGGCAAGCCGGTGGCTTGAAGTATTTTAACCTGAAGGAAAAGGAAGACTGTTTTTAACTCAGAAAGTTCCAAGAAGTACTTTGAGTCAGAGACACAGGCTCTAGTGCTGACTGTGTCACTAACAGTTGGTTTACGTTGACCAAATCTCATTCAACCTGGGCTGTATTTTTGCATCTGTGAAATGTCATATTTAGTGAGAGGTTGACACAAGGTATCAGTAACCTTGACGATATACAAGTGGACATTTTAAAGCATTTACAGGCTGATGAAGAACATTTAAAATTCTAGTTTTTATATCATCATCATCTTCGGAAGAAGAAAGTTCTCAAACATCAGCACCATTCAACCACACAAACTCGGCCAACTATGGATACTACGGCCCAAGGACACAAGATTGTTAAGAATGATGAATGATGAATGAAGAATGAAAACAGTGTGCATACCAGTAAGCAGTAAATATTCAGAAAAGGGCAAAAAAACATTTATTTGATATTTTAATGTATAATAAAGAACAACGTTCTCAATTGGAATGTTACTTGCTACTAGAGCGTTTCTGGAAAACTTTAAAAGCATCAGGAATGTATACTCTGAAGATCTGGAGGGGTGAACGGAGGAGACAAAAGATGGTGACCGCTGACCATTCTCTGCAGCGATGTGTACGATGCCTCCTCCGTGCAGATTCAGGGAGGAGGGCCAGATCAAAGGAAATGTGCCCTGGGCTGCTGGGGTGTGGGGTTTTGTGATAACTATGTGCGATTACAGAAGTATGTGTTTAATCAGACCAGAACGCCCCCAGAAGAAATGCCCATAATAGACTTTAAAGCAGCCAATGGTCTAAATATTTCTTTTGGCAGGTAGTGTCAGGTTGATTTTTAACTTTTGTGATAAGTTGTGGAAGAAACTAAATCTGAAATTAACTAAGCTAAATTCTGACTTCATAATCCATGAGGCCAACCTTCAGGAGACTGCACACTGATCAGTTATCATGCTCTTCACCTGGTCGCTTCCTGCATGTTGTATGACGCACTCTAAACCTCCAGTGCGTAAAATTAACAAAAACAGATTTGAGTATGTGGCAGAAGTTTACATAGTTTAGCAACCACAAATGTTCTTACTGTTTAATGAAGTATTAATAATGACACAGAAAATCATGCAAAGCAGACGACTATTTTCTTCTATAATGGGTAAGCAACGGATGGGCACTCCTGCTATTACTCACTTTTTCCTGTGATGGCATAGAGTTTGAAACATCTAGATAGCAATTCCCAGGCTATGAAAGACAGACTGACTAACACATTTTGTTTGTCCAAACCAAATAGAGCCATTAGTATTTGGCAATTAATTTTTCATTAAATTTTAAAAACCATGCCCTTTTCATTAAGTGTTTAAAATGCTTATTATATTCTTTAAGATGAGGCAATGTGGTATTTGGGAAGACTGCAATATTCTGGAGTACAAAGATCTAAATAAAAATTTCTGCCACTTATTAGCTTCTGTTTATGAGCAAATTACTTAAATTCTTAGGCTTAGTTTTTCTCCTATGGAAAACAGGATAGCTACCTAATGATAGATGTGTGAGGACTAACCATACCAATGAAATACAATGAATGAAATCACTACCAGGCGTTACGTGGATGGATGTTCAATACATACTTCTTTGTGACTGAATTCCATCTGAAAGTTAATTTCCTTTCTTAGAAATCAATTTCAATTTTAAGATTGAAATAAATAAGAAAGCAAGGTTTCATATGCTGAACTCTCTCCCCTATAGGCAACTCCTCAGGAATGAGACTGCAGGAATAAAGAATATCAGGAATAAAAATATCAGGAATGATATCTAGAACATAGGTTTAAGTTTTTGCTTGCAGAAACCAAAATCACCACCAGGTGTCAGAATACCACAGACTTCAACTTGCCACTGCTCCAAGACCTACAGCCCTGAAATGTCGGGAGACAACTGATGTTGTTCGTGGTTTTAAAATACACTAATTTTATTTAATGTAATTAAAATGATCAATATGTTAATATGTGCATACTTTTTTTCAAGACAGAAAAATAAATCTAGTCTTCTTTTAAGGGCCAGTGATACTCATCACCTGTGATATCTTAAGTGTCCCCAAACTGGTATCCTTTGTTTTTTTCCCCACCAATATTTAACTACCATACAGTTTATTTGTCTTCCTCCTTTTACACAAAAGGCTATTACACACTCAGAATATGGTGTCTAAAAACCACTCCCCACTGAAAGGGATCCAGTTCCTTGGAGAAATGGTCTGGGACAAGGAATGTACAGTCTGTGCCACACCAGAGCAGGAAAGCTGGCACACTCTCTGAGGGTTAGGGTTGTATCAAAGGACTCAAGAGCCACCCGAAGAGGCCTCCACAGGCCAAAGATTGGATCGTTTGAGCTTCGATATAGGTAATGAATACAATGGATCAAAACACACCAAGTATATTTAAATCCAAGAGTTCATAATGATACGAAGACCAAACCAAAAAAACCTCACTTGTCACTTTTGCATAATAGTAGGAAAACCAATTCATTATTTTGAAAACTAGTGAATAAAGGGAGAGAATGGAGCATTCACCCTGCCTTTTAGATACAAATTGCACCTCTGAATAGCAAAATAGTTGACAGTAGGAAGGTTCACTCTACAGAATTCCAGCTAATAAATGAAGGGATGATAGAATTATTTTTTCTAACTCCTAATGAAATACCTAGGTAATAACCATCAACGATTGCTAACAACCCCAAAAGAGAACCAGACATGATGTGCCTTCTGATGGAAGACACCTCACCCTGTAAAGGATCATCGCCCCTCCCCTCCCCCATAGGTCACCTTTATATCTAACTCCCAATTTACAGCAAATACACCTTAACACAGTAAATAATACCAACCAGCAAAATCCAGACTATGAGAAAACACACGATGACAACGCAGTTTCTACAATAAACAAATTTCAGAGTGAGAGAGAGAGGGCAAGCAGGAGGGAGCAAGCATAAGGGCCAGAGCCTAAAGATTAAAATATAAAATAGACTAAAGACACCAAGACGACCAGGGAAACTGACTGGATATTTCATGATATTAAAAAAGTATTAACTCTTGATCATGATATCCTGGCTAGGTTGGTTTTTTAAAAGTCCTCTTCTTTTGGAGATATATATACTAAACTATTCTTGAAGAAATATGATGTCTGGGATTGCTTCAAAATAATCCAAGGGAAGGGGACAGCGGAGAAGCAGCTTGTGTATATGAACGAAACAAGACTGACCACGAGTTGATAGTCGAGGGAGGATGAATGGGGGTCCATGACACTATCCTACTACTTTTCTATAGGTTTGATGTCTTCCATAAAAAAATATTAATACATTTTAACTTCATTTAAAAAAAAAAAAGCCTAAGTTACCCAGTGACAAAGATACATTTCCCAAGTGAGACAGTACCCTCACATGTTACTTCACGAATGGTAACTTTCACAGGTTGCATTTCTGGTCCATCCCCTTTAAAATGGGCCATTATGAGTCACAAAGCCTATGTCTCCCCATCTTTGATAATCCTATAACCTCAAAGAAAATGTTCTGAAATCGAGTACAGTACAAAGATTCACCTTTTAGTGAATTAAGAATACTTCCCCGTCACACGGAAGCAATGGACCATCAATTACTAATTGAGACCTCCTAAATACATGCAAAGACCTACGGAAGGTGGCCCAACTCTAACAGCTTTAGCTGCTCCATACCTGTAGCTGATGCCTAACTTTCTCCTTTCAAAGTGAAACTCAATTCTAGAACTAGTTACTGAGCTACAAGACTGGACCTAGGATAGACTGTGAAATGAGAGCGAAGTGTGGGCTTCCTGGCCTCACCTTTGAATGGCCTCCTCACCCACACACGGTGTCTAAGCCCCTTGCTGACTTCTCGTCTTCAAAAACCTTTTTAAGTGGTTCCTGGGTGATTCTCAACCCATGGCACCCTGGCCCACTAGAGTGTGCCTGGAAATGCACGATGGGATGTTCTCCTTGTCATAATGAGTGAAGAGGCGGCCCTACCTATGCTGACCTAACACGCGCCCAGCAACCACCCGTGACGATACCACAGCCCCCTAGGGAGAGGACAGCTTTACATAACATGCTCTCCTTCCAGTTCACTCTGAGTCTCATCTTTCCAGAAATATCCCTCAGACCTCACTATGTGCATTCATTGATGACCCCTACTCTGTGTCCCAGAGCAACTCGTATCTACCCCTCTCAGAGCACACGGCGTCACACAACACTGGAGTCCTCTGTTTACCTCTGCATCCCCCAAAGGTGCACACCAACTACACGGGTTGCTCCCCTGACAGCACGAGTCCTGCCTTACTCATTTTCATATTCCCAGCGCCTGACAGTGTCTCACAGACGATACCCAACACACAGTTCAGGAACAGCATGCGTGGGAAGAGCAGAGAGGAAAGGGTCTGGGGCGAGGACATGATGGGACAGCACAAGCAAAGGCATGCTCCTGAAGAGGAAACAAGAAACATGGAAAGACAGTGTGAAGAGTGGCTTAGGCGGCTCCTTAGCAATAGGACCAGGGCTGGGACACACCTCCAACATCAGAAGAGGCCCAAAAGGAGGAGGAAACCTGTGTGAGAAAACTGGCTTCTCTAGAGAGAAGTTCAGACAAACTCAAATTCACATAATTTTAGGGCAGAACAGCCCAGAAGAAAGAGGTGACTTATCCAAGGGGTCACAGAGGAAGGGAGTGGAAATACCTGGCTACCTGGAATGTCAGGAAAATGTGATGAAATATGCTCTCTAGAACACTAAATACTAAAGATTTATTTAGAGACAGATATTTTCAAAATTTGAAAAAGGACACAGTATTTACTGTCTAAATACCCACAATCCTCAAAACCAGCTGTACTTCTACTACTTCTAAAGGAAAGTGGGCCTTACCATGCACACGAGTTTGTTCTCCTGGGTCTCCTTATCAAAGGACGCATCTGCAGCATCATCACCCCCCGCAATTCTCTCCCCGATGTCACCACTAATGCGCATCACCTCTACGTGCAGCCGGCCTGCCACCTACAGCAGGGGGGACAGAAGCAGATCCTTTCTCCAGATTTTGTTCTTTCCTCTGTGGTACAGTCAAGTGGTTAGCTTAGTGGTATAACAGGTTCTACCAGTTACTTTTCCTCAAAGTATTTATTTGGAATAATCACCATCCAGCAGTATGGAAACACAGATATTAATAATACACATAGATAATGCTTGTCGTTATTGATGAAAAATTATAACAACAATTTACTATCACCACCCTGTTGTTCCTCGAACTGTTCTCTGCGGGACACAAGGCACGAGGAGAAAACTAACCTCTCCTTTCTGGTTGATGATTGGAACAGCATATTGTAACTTCACATCATAGAAGAGGGACTCAAGGAAGACATTAGCCATCCCAATGAGACTGTGATTTTCCTGCTCATCATAGAACGGATCTGCACGCTTGAAGTAAGACCGTATCACCTTTGGAGAGATTCGAAACATACAGCTTCAGAAAATCTCTTAAAATAAACGAATTCAACCTACCACTTTTTGATGCAGTCTAATAAAGTCATTAAACTTAGCCGAAGTATAGCATTGTATTGCATGCACGCACACATGCACACGCACACACACACACACACACACTCTTCCTCATTCCCGCTTAGAATGGTGGTCAGCACCCTTCACCCATGAGAGAGCAATCCCAATAACACATCATTACTTTCATCATTTCTTCTCCCTTCCATGGAAACCTTGCTGCGAAAATAGAGAAAGCATACGTTGACTAGAAAAATCAGCGGAGTGTACAAAAGTACTCTATTTTTCATTCACATCTATTCCACCTGTCCCTACCAAATCATTAGACACGCTGCTGCTAATGAGAGGTGACCCCCTTACAAGAGTGTGGTTTGCTTGTTATTTGTTGTTAATGTTATTTCATTTCTAAGTTGAAATAGGAGAGGAATACAGAAGAAAATGGAAAAAAATGTTTTAAGAAAAAAATGTCATCTAACTATAAGAAGTCATTTTTATTGATGAACTTTTTTTTTTTTTTTTTTTTTTTTTTGCGGTACGCGGGCCTCTCACTGTTGCGGCCTCTCCCGTTGCGGAGCACAGGCTCCGGACGCGCAGGCTCAGCGGCCATGGCTCACGGGCCTAGCCGTTCGGCGGCATGTGGGATCTTCCCGGACCGGGGCGCAAACCCGTGTCCCCTGCATCAGCAGGCAGACTCTCAACCACTGCGCCACCAGGGAAGCCCTTGATGAACATTTTTACAAAACAAGAGGCTAAGGAAGTAAACAACTCTATGGGGCCCTAGGACCAGCAGTGTTGAAAATATGTAAAAATATACATAATTCATACTTCTATTTTAAATAGGTACAAGCACACGGCTGACCTAAATGAGCAAACCTGAAACTTGAGGAGAGAGTACCAGAATTCAGACCTATGGCACCTGCTTTAGGATCAAAACGCCTTCAAAAAATGTTCCTAATAGTATAAATATTAAGGTACCACTGATGTTCAGTTCAAAAAACAGATGTTGTAGTTTTGTTATTTGCAAGGTTAAAATATGTTGAGAAATGGGAAGAGAGATATTAAGGCCTGCGTAAAACCATGGGAGACAGATACACGTAACACCAACAGAAGCCAGAACAAACATAGAAGATTCTACTAGAAATCCACAGAACACAAATGTGGAGAAGAGAAGATGCCAGAAAAATAGGTTATTAAAATTCTTGACTAGCTAAACAATTGACAGGATTAAAATAAGTGTTGTATTTATTAAACAAGATATTTTGGAAAAATGAACAGTTCTTCCCTAAAATGGGCAGGCTCATTCCTGAGTGGTTCCTTCTGTGACTATCAGTTAAGTAGTTTTTCTCAAGTAACTTACTGGGGTATCTTCTTCACACTCCTTCCACTCCTGATAAAGATCTCTCATATCCAATAACCTGTTGTCCAGTTTTTCCAAAGACCAAATCTGCTTCCCTTTTCCTTTTCTTCTCACCTGGATGGCAGGTTCACTAAGGAGAGAGCCTCGCTGCGAAGACAGTAAGAGTGGCGTTGGGAAGCACAGAGATATCTATGCATCGTAGACATCAACCCCAACATTCTATACCCACCAGTCAAATGTCATCGACTAAAATGGAAACTGTATCATTCTTTAATCTGTTCAGTGCAGAACTTCCCAGGAATCTTACAAGCTTAATATAACCTCTTTCTATCTAACTGCAGTCAAAATTTAAATTTAAGTATAAATCTAAATTTAAACTTAAATCCCAGAAAAGTAGACCATGTCTATGGGGAAGTCAAAAATGTTTTATTCAGGACATCATATGACCAAAGAGTATCAGTGGGTAGGAAGAGAGTCATAAGCACTGAATGGGAAGGGAAAGTTTGTGGGATGGATGGTGAAGAATTTTTACCTTTCAAAAGTTAGAATTTTAAAAAATTTCTGAATGGCTAAGTATCTTAATGTGATACAAAACACAAATGATTAAAAGAGTAAGCTGTGAAAAGTATCCTATTTACCCATTTGGAGGCAACAAATGATACCAACTTCCAAATATACATAGTTTGAATTTATTATTAAGACGGTACAGAACCAGGTAGAGATGCTGGTTGTACAACACTGTGAAGGTACTACATGCCACTGAATTGTTCACTTTAATTAATTTTATGTTACGTGAATTTCACCTCAAAAAAAATTAATAGTACTCATTTAAGTTTTTCTAGCTTAGAAAAGCAACGTGCTTTTAATGTAGAAAAATATTTAAATGTTTTGAAATCACAAAGTAGAAAATAAAAACGCCCCTGTAGATCTCCCCCAGAGAGATGTACCTATCAGATATCTAATCAACTGAGATTTACCGGAAATTTTTTTAACTGTTCTGATACGTCTACTTAGAACTTTGGAGAATTATGAAAGGCGCCAATGTTGCCTTAACATCTTGCCTATAATCAGTTCCAAAGAAACAGAATTTACATAACGAAGCAAGGGTTTTAGAATTCTGAAGTTCAAAAATTACCGTTCTCTCGCATACTGCAAAGGCCCGTCTACCTTATATTCAGCCAGGTAGGGAAACGAATATCTGAATACAAAATGCTACCTAATCCATCAAAAATTATGTACTAACATGATCAAGAGCTATAAAAGAACCCAAATAAGTGAGAAAACTGAATGGCAAGGATAGGAGACTATGATGGGACTTGCCCTCTGCATTTTATAAGGCTTCTTACATTATAAAAAAAAAAAGAGAGAATTGTGATTTTGAATACCCACATGAAACAACTAGTGGACAGTTGTGCCATGCCATCTAGTGACAAGTAGAAAATAACATGCTATAGGTAAAATGAATCCCTAACTTGGGGGGGAGGGGTGGCGGGTGGCAGAGGAATAGCATGAAGGGAAGAACCACTTGGGGTACGGGTACTGCTGGGGATGGGGGGGAGGGCAAACCCCCCACCCCGGTGTCTGAATAATATGAAGGCGTTTTATCCAGCGATATCTTTGTTTTCATTAACGTCAATCTCACCTTCCTGTTGGCATCGAGGCTGGAAGCTGGAATCTGTAGGGTTACTTTATACTCTGTCCGTTTATCCAGTTCTTCCGCAATGTAACTAGCTTCTCTCACCAACAGATTGGCCTTAACGATTTGTTCCCTCAGCCTCATCAGGCTGTTATTCAGTGTTGCTTCTCTTCAAAAAAAAAAAAGGGGTGGGGGGCAGATAACCATTAAAGCAGCACATCAGAATATTATATAGTGCATGGTACGTCAACACCAAACTGCGAACCAAGCTTTACAACTGTCTTTTGCACACAGGGAATACATCACCAACGCTGGCCCATGCACGCACTTGAATGTGGGCTACATTACAAGCACGGGCACATGCTCCTGTAAGAAGCCGGCCAGAGACTAGGGCTTGGCAAACTTGACTGTGTATACAAATCACCTGGGAATCTTGATAAACTGAAGATTTTGACTCAGTAGGTCTGGGATGGGGGGACCCAAAACACTACATTTTTATCAATCTCCAGGTGACAGAGATGCTACCTGTCTGCAGACCAAACTCTGAAGAGCAAGAGGTTAGTTAAATACGTCTGTAACCATGGATAAAACATTTAGTGCAATGCTAATTAGCTCAAATAGAGATCAAACTTGCAATCTGAATCTCATTGGTACCGTGCTTTACCTACCTGATAAACCACCTTTCTCTTTTTCCTTTTTTAAAAAAAGCATCTACCCACGCTTCAGAACCTAAAGTATAATATACAATGATAAAGTATAACTTCTAAGTACACATACTTGCTTAGTCAAATCCAAAAGCCATACAAACTGAAAATGGGGCAGCACCTAACAGGGGCGGCTTTAAATAAATCAATATAAATTGACAATTCCCTTTTTTTTTTTTCAAAAGTGGGGAGGGGAAAGACAATGCCAAGTGGTTCCTAGCTGTAACACTCTCTTTTAATGTAATTCATTTTTAAAGTAAGGCCTAGATTTTTCCGCTCCATATGTTATGCAGGTGGGTTAAAGGTGACGAGCATATGCTACGCAGGTGGCACAGGCCCTGTGCTCCACCTACCTCTCTTCCGCCCACTGCCTCAATCGCTGCTGAGCGCTGGGTGAGTGGAAGGAAAACTTGTCCGAACTACGGCAGTTCTGTTTCTCAGGAGACAGCCGTCTCCGGAGCTGCTCCAGTTCATGTTCGTACATGAGCCTCTGGCGCTCCAATGCAGACCGTTTCTCCTCTTCGTGCTGTTGTTCTAGGCTGTTCAGTATTGACTGCATGGGATCTAAACAAGTGTTTTTTTTTTTTTTTAAGGCAAATAATAAAAGGTTAACTGCACAACACAATATACTTTAAATGTTCTGTATTATTATGTTGTTTGTCATCCTAATTAATAACGTAAGATTCTTATAGACAGTTAACTATCCTTACTCCCAATTACTGATCGTATTATCTATTCTGTCAGATACATGCCAAACCATCTTCCATATAAAAAAAGCAGGTCTATTTGTATGTTCTACACATAACCTAAGACAGAGTTAACGGTCTGGAAATCCACTACAATAATAAGCCAGTGGCAGTCAGGTCTCAAACCTGAGAAATTCTATCAATGAGAACAAAGTTTTCAGTGATTTGTGTATCAAGGCAGAAAGAAAAAACAAGTTTTTATAAGCATAATAAATTAAGGCCAAAGTCACAAAAGAATTGAGTACAGAGAACAACATGAAGATTTCCTTTGTTGCTAACGTTTAAAAAGTGTCCATTGTAAACAACTCTAACAGTCTAGCAACTCTGAAAGATTCTAAAAAGCACAACAGATCTGCTCACCGTTACTGCCCAGAGCCTTCATGGTTACCTCCATCTGCGCGTACTCGTAATTGAAGTTGATTTCGCTGGACACCTCACTGGATGAGTCTCCATCCACATCCAGCTGCTCAGAACTGGTGTCATTCTTCATGGACGTGTCTTGTTCCTCATCTTCTCCACCTGCTTTCTTTTTCTTTTTAGGCAAATTAAGTCTTGGGGAGAAAGAGAATATTATCTTTTAAAGAAAGATATGCATTTATTCATTGCATTAATTAAATATTAGCACTTGCTAGATGCCAAGGGGATACTATGTGCATATAAGGCAATTACTGTACTCAGAAGTTTATATTCTAGTAGTAGAAATAAAACACAGGCACATGCGCAAATAATGACAACAGAGAGTGTGACACAAGGCCATGTGACAAGCTAGGCGTCAGAGAAAAGCTGAGGACCACCTCACGCTGGACTGAAAGAGGCAGGGATGACAGAATAAGAAGTCATCTGAGCCCAGCCTTAAAGGCTGAGGAGAAAGCAGGGCGTTAGGACAGAGGAACAGCATGAGGAAAAATGGAAACTCTCATAGCCTCTGGAGAAATTAAAAATTACACGGAGATACACAAAATTTGTAGAGCAAAAGTTGCGTGAGATAATGGTGGAAAGATCAACTTAACCCAAACTATGAAACTTTGAACACTAAGCCAAGCAATCTACACTTGATTAAGTTTAAAGAAAAAAATGAAAAAGACTTTCCACACACTTTGTACCCCTCTTTTCTCAACAATCAAAATAGCAACTGGCCCACAAGCAAAGGATCTAGTCAGCTTGATGTAGGAAACACAGGGCCAGGGACAGGTAGAGGAACAGACCAGGATTTTAACTTTGTACCCTATCTAGCCAGTCCGTCCTCACCAACACAACACCAATTTTGTATGGGAAACAATATGCAGTCCCAGGTCAGACACTTTCCTTCTCAGCCTCCTTTGCAGCTGAGAGGCAAATTCTAGTGAATGAGACGTAAGTGGAAGGTTGCTGGGGACTCTGGGAAGACTCCTGCTTCTTCTCATCAGCACAGTCAGGACTATTCCTGCCACCCTTCAACCTCGTTTTCTTCGCATGTGCCTGAGTGCTGCCTTGATGTCTGGAGTGGCGTGGCCATCTTTAGACCACAGGGAAAAGCCAAGACAATGACATGACTTCTGCCATGACTCTTTTGAGAGGCTTAGCCAATGCCAGTAACCATCCTCCTTGGGAGTTCGGCTTTGTCAGAGAAATGAACTATCTATTTAAGCCATTATAGTCAAGTTTGCCATTACATGCAGCTGAGAGCATTCCTAAATGAAATATTAACCTTATTTTATGGATAAGGAAACTTAAACCACTACTTTTCCAATAAAAAAAAAAAAGACAAGCATGTCAGAAAATAATTAATGAATTCTTATACCAGATGGCAAAGCAATCATCTTCCACTGGGAAATAAAAAGGAAAAACCATGTAAGTAAACACAGTATTTCTCCTGAGCGTACTTGTTCATGTGTCCCTTGGGCTCAAATCGTATAGTGAACAAGCGTATGTATAGTGAATAAATGCATATGCATAGTGAATACATACTTATGTGCACAAAACAACATAGAATACTTATAGCATTAAGTTTACTTTTTAATATATACTTTTCTATTTCAGAGTATAATCATCAAAAATCTACCTATTTAAGAGCCATGAATGTCATACCTGAAGAAGTGGTTGTTCCCCCATAATATCCTGTCCCCATGGTGTAGCTGAATAGGACTGGATACAGAGGAGCCATTTACAAATGTTCTGTGGGGAGAAGAGGTCAAACATATAAACAATGATTATCATGTTCTCTCCTTTAATTTTTCCAATACAATATAGGAAAAACAAAACAATCAATTCCCCAAAATAATATCTGCCCTTGGTGAATTTTATTACTTGTATTTCCTTCTTTGCTGATTTATTTTAAATGCTTATGGTACCAAGTATCATAGGTTATTATCCTCTACCTTTCAAAGCTCTAAATTTGTTATACAGCATATTAAGGAGTAAATATGGAACCACTGCAGCCAGTAATAAAAAGATGGTAGCAGTGTACACTACAACTAAAACAAGTATGTCCAATCTACACGGATAAAAAGAGCCAGTCAACCAACTAAACTCAGAAATATCTATAGTATCAGTAATAAGAAATGAGGCCTATGTTAAACTCTTCTGTAACTTCCTATAGCACAGAAAAATGTGCATATCCTACCAATAGATAGAAGATTTGTAAGATCCACTTGACTGCTTATCTTGACAACAGAGTTCAACAGAAGAAATGACGGGTAGAAGGATATTAAGGAAAAATTTTAGAGGGGCAGGAAATAAATAGAAAATTATGCATACCACAATAAGATTGATATTCCTGGAATACCAGTGTCATCATGCCTCTCTCCACTGAATGACTAACCTGCTTAGGTTTAGGATAAAGGTCAAGTTCTTTAACTTGACATTAAAGGCCCTGCAAAAGGAAACCCTCCTTATCTCCTTCTTTCCCACTTCTAGTGAATTCTCAACTCCAGCAAAAAAAAAAAGAGGGGGGGGGATAGGGGTGTTATGTTCTGTCCACTAAACATGGCTGACTCTTCCTCCAAAGCGAGGCTTACCCCAGTCCTATAACCTGGAATAGGGTTCCCGTTCTCTATCACCCTGAGTCTCACTCAGTTTGATTTCTCACAAAGCCCAGTTTGGTTTCTACTTCCTCTGTCACTCCAACCAATACTACCTTAGTTTCTTAACGTTCCTAAGGCACTCACCTGGCTTTGTACGGCCAGTTATTTTTAATGTATATGCATACACACAAAACCTTACTCTCCATCTAGATTTCACTTACCATGTGGGTTTTTAAGCACTAAAAGTAATTGGTCTCTATGCTCCTACAGTCTGATTATTCAAAGCACGAGCTTAAAAAATAAAGTTATGACAAGAGGGGACCTACTAAAATTAGCAGATTTTAGCCTTTATGACACGAATACCTTACATACAGTGAGGAGTTTAATTAAAGGCAAACACATACATAGGCTTATTTTTTAAAGCTGCAGCAGTTAAATAAAAGCATGACTGTAATAACAGTTCTCAACATGTGGCCTGTATGGGGTCCCGAAGATCAAATTTATTTTTATAATAACACTAACCTGCCCTTTTTCACCATGTTGACGTTTGCACTGGCAAGGAGTAAAATTGCTGGTGTTTTAGCACAAATGAAAGCAGTGGCACCAAACATTTATCAGTAGTCACTGGATTATTCACTGCCATGCACCCACAATTTCTAAAAATGTTTCACTTGAAAAGGTCCTTGATGAAGCAGTAAAACTCAACTATACGCCAATAAAATGTTTTTAAAAAATACATTTTTAAAAATAATAAATTACTACTTTTAGTAAATTTTGACCCTTGAGTAGTACACAACTTCTTAAACATTCCAGGTGACAAAATGAGAAGTACACACAAAGCACTGTGCTAATGCATACCAAAGTATAAGAACTGTCTTGAGCAGAAGACATGCTCAAAGTGGTTTTCTGGCAGACATTTTCTTGAAAATGAACAAAGCCAGCCCGTCACTTTGACAAAAACAGCTGACAGTATTTGTTGCCAATTGTAAATGTCAAGCTTTCAAGTGAAAATTAGAGTTTTGGGAAATTTGTGTCAATGTCTTCCAACCAAAGACCACCAGGAATATTCCCGTAGTTGAACCAGTTGGGTTTATTACTCACGCAGGGGGAGGAGACACCACAGGAAGCATGGGGGCATCTCAGTGAGGGGGCCCGGGGGGACTCTTGCAGGACTGGGCTTCAGCTGCTCATCCTGGGAGAGGGTCTAAGGAGGTGAGAGTTCTGTATATACCGGATACTGCCAGAGAGCAGGAGTAATTCTATGATCGGGTTTGTCAAAAATCTTATCCACAGAGGATAAAGTTGTAACTGGTGAAGAAACAGCCACTCACTTGGCCGAGAGAAGGTGTTTGGTATTTTGGGTGTGGCACAGTGACCCTGGTTTTTGTCTCTGCTGAAACAAAATTATTATGTGGCCTGCTTCATCTTATTTCATCATAGCCTCAGAGTAACCTTCCCTGGGGTTGGTATCTGTGTGATTATTTAATAGGAGAATAGCACACCAGAGCTGGGAGTGCTGGGCCAGCTTACGCTCTATTTTTCTCTTTTCTCACTTGTATCCTTTACCATGAGCTTGATAGCTTCCAAATATTTACAGACTTTATGGATGAAATTAGTGATGGTATTAATGATTTTTTGACATAATGATGAATCAACATTCGGAAGATCAATATGTCAGTTAACCATCACCTATAACAGTTATATAGCCAGTTACACAACAGGGCAATAACAGTTTCAAAGCTCAAGGAAACAAACTGACAAATATTTAATTTGTATAATGTTATGCCTATTCATTACTTATTGAGCACTTATTTATTAGTCTGGTATTACACGCTAAGGATAGAGAACCAAAAAAGAAAGGTCCTTGTCCTCAAAGAGCTCACAGTCCAATGTGATAATAAAGGCTAACAGCCCACAAGAACACAGTATGAAGTATTAACATAACAGGAAGCATAAAGTACACTAGGAAAATGTACTGGGGGCCCTTATTTTAGACCAAAGTAGACAGTGACAGAACTTAACCTTGAAGGTCAAACAGGAGTTACTTAGCTGGCCAGAGGAATGGCAGATGCAGAAGAATAGGAGATAAGCAGGAGGGATGTAAGGGATTTTTGCATCAAGAATAGAAGAAAGCCATCTGGTTGTATGGTGAGTGGACCAGGAAGATTAGGGTGCTGTCAGGAGTTCCAATCAAGATTTGATGGGGGGCTTCCCTGGTGGTTGAGAGTCCGCCTGCCAATGCAGGGGATGTGGGTTCGTGCCCCGGTCCAGGAAGATCCCACATGCCACGGAGCGGCTGGGCCCGTGAGCCATCCGCTGAGCCTGCACATCCGGAGCCTGTGCTCCGCAACGGGAGAGGCCACAACAGTGAGAGGCCCGCGTACCGCAAAAAAAAGAAAAAGAAAAAAAAAAAGATTTGATGGGGACCTTATTTAAATAAGGCCACGGCAGTACGTATAGAGAGGAAGGATTGGTTTAAGCCATATTAAAAAGTTAAATATTAAGGACTTGGTAACTAACTGAATATCTTCTTTAAGTGAACATAAAAGCACACAAAGGCCAAACGTCCTTATACCATCCGCAATTAGTGTACTTTCTTCCTCTTAAAAATTACTGTGACATTAACACTAATTAAAGTACATTACCTGGTGTTCTTTTGAGGAGTCAGCATAACCTGGCCTTCTGATGTGATGTCTATGATACAATGTTCAGGAAGAATTCCCATTCCACATAGTTGGATATCTTGGGAATTTGCTGAACCTATCAGTGTATGTTCCTACAAAAGAATCAAATTCACTGATCAATAGTGCATTCTTACATGTACACAACTGAAATCATCTACTCTCAGCTCTCATACATTGATCCGTTACCTTAGCTAAAAGATTTTTAAAGCAAATGGAATGACAGAGGGAATTTCTGGCTTTCTATAGAATTCATTCTACAAGTTCTATTTCCTTATAAGGAGTAATGCACTGAGTTGAGTTATAACTTTTAAACCTACAACTACAGTTTTACATTAATGTCTATATTACATTCGTTATTTTCCATTGCAATCTTGATTCCAAATATTCTATACTACTCTCAGAGCATGGTCTGAAAACTACAGTTACTTAAGTTGTACATCACCTACCTGGTCTCAGTCAAGATGAGTCTACAAAGATAAAGAGCTATTCAAATGCAAGGATTCTGAATTATTTTATGAATTACATGGTCTCCCTAGACCTCATAAAAGATATGGTAGATGTGTTCTTCTTACCCTAAACCCCCAACTACTCAATTCTCTAAGCCCTAATCACCAGTGTCACTTTTTGGCAGGTACCTGAGAAAACAGACATAAAAATCGAACTCCCTCTTATGTGCTTCAACATTTGACTGCCCTTAAATGTTGATACTGACTGGGATGTGTCCCTAGGCCACCTTCTCCTTATACACACCTAGATCAGGGGTCAGATATGAAATATTTTAGGCTTTTTGAGTCATACACAATTACTCAATTCTGCCCTTGTAGTGTGAAAGCAGCCAGACAATATACAAATGCACAAGTGTGGCTACTTTCCAATAAAACTTTACTTATGAACACTGAAATCTGAACTTCATATAATTTTCAAGAGTCCAAAATATTATGATTCTTTTGATTTTCCTCCAACCATTTAAAAAATGCAAAAGCCATTCTTGGCTCCTGGGCCATATGAAAACAGGCAGGGGGTGAGATTTAACCCATGGAAGCAGGTTGCTGACCGTTGACCACGATGATCTCATCCAGTCCAATATGCTTTAAATACCATACACACACACACACACACACACACACACACACACACACAATTAAATCACCAACCAGGAACTACAGACTTGAGTTCCATCATTCTCCCACCTCCACTATCACTGCCCTAGTCATAGTCACCATCATTTCTTGCCTACTGGGCACAGCTTGGATGTCTAAAGACATTTCAAAGTGAAAGGGCCAAAGCAGAACTTTTGCTTCCACCTTCCCACCACCCCATTGAGTCTATTCCCTTCTCCAATACTAATGGCACCACCACCACCCAGCTGGTCAACTAGAAAAGCTCAGATGCTATCCTGGAGTCTTCTCTCTGTCTTAGCAGTCTACCTCCAGCCCTGTGTCAATCAGGAAATCGTCAAAGACTCTCCCTCTGAAATATATCAAGAATCAGCTCACTTCCCACCTCTACTATCACATCCTATTCTCTTGCCCAGGTGAATATTAGAGCCTCCTTCTATTTCTCCACTTCTATCCACCCCACCCGCTCCCACCACAACAGCCGATCACGTGATCCCCTATCGAGAATCCTCTAGTGGCTTCCCTTTGAACTTCTAAGAAGTTCAAATTCTTACCCAGGCTGACAAACCCTCTGTGATCTGGCCCCTGCCTACCTCTCTTATCCCAGCTCCCAGCACTCTGCCTCTCCTGGAGCGTGACCCACCCACTCGGGCCTTTCATCTGTTCCCTGAGCACACTGACTGCTTCCTCTGTCTGAGGTGTTCCTCCCCTGATCTTGATATTGGTAGTTTCTTATCACTTCCACCTTAGCTTTTAAATACACATCCTCAGAGAGGTGCAGCCTGAACCAACAATCAGAAGTAGCCACCCTGTTACTCTCGTGCCTGAATTCCTTACAGACTGACTGTCCGTGGGTTTCCTGTCCATCTCCATGGCTAGCATGGAAACTCCAAGACAGCAGAGGACAGCCTGACCTGCACCACCCCACCACTGTATTCCAAGCATGTAACACAGGCCTGGTACATTTAGCCATTAGATAAATATAAAAGAAAAATAAATGAACAATCCATTCCCTTCAGACTCAGGAAGACAATTTTCTCCTCTTCTTTGCTGATATCCCTTCTAATTATACTCTGGGTTCCAATTCTTCCCATCTCTTCTGGGATCTCAACCTCAGAAAAAGGCCTCTTCCCTTCTATTATTTTCATTTTCCCTTTTCTGGGGGTTTCTTCTCTCAAGTATGCTGCAGCAGTGTTTCCAAGGAAACAAAGAGCTGGGATCAGAACTGTGCCATGGCATCCCGTTCAGTCCTCAAGGAGTATATACAATACACAGAGAGGGCATTCCAGGCAAATGTCTACTCCTTGATCTTGGCTGAGGCTTCTTGGCCAATCCCATACTTCCCTAAGCTGGAGAACAGGGCTTGATCAGGTGTAAACTACAAGTAATGCTTCAGTGACATTCAGTAGCAGGCCTAACGAATGTGTTCCATGTCGGTCTCCATTCCCCACTTCTTCCCTCTCTAACGACACCAACTACAAGGTGCAGAGAAGTTCTAAAAGGAAAAAAAAAAAAAAAAAAGAGTCTGAAGAGAAAAAGAGCCCAAGATCACATAAAAAAGAAGAAAAGATCCCCAAAGCACTTGGCTTAGGCCATTTCTATTATAATCCCTTTCTTCTCCCCATGAGAAATTCTAGCTGGAGTCCTTATTGTGACTTTGGAATCCTTTTTGTCCTTGGGGGTGGAGGTGGAGAAAAGCTCTGAACTACCCCCTAGATTGGAGTTTGAGTGTAGAATCAGCTCCGACTGCTGCATTCCAAGACTGCAGCAAGTACCAGGGGCAATAAGCAGAGAAGTATTCGTTGCTCTTTACATACGTAAATAACCAATAGCCCTTAATAAACGAAATCGCCCTGGCTTCACAGAACCAGGACTCTGAAGACAGCCTTTCGGGAATGGAGGTGAGGAAGGAAGGAAAGGTACCTTTCTGTCTTTTACAAATTCAAATATTACTCTAGGTGAGTCAAACTGCCTCCAACCAGGCACGTCTCACAGCCACACCGCTGTCTTATTCGTCCTGGGCCCCTTGAAGCCTGGCCCACAGCTCTATCAACGCGGAATGGCTGTGGCCCTGCCATTCTGCTGATCGCCTCCCTCCACTGACTGAATGCTGGCAGGCAGCTTAATGCCAACGGGAGCTACGCTCCCCCTAGGACTGTTCCCTACGTAAGTGTGCTTTGACGCTGCTGCGGAATCACTGGTACAAATCCTGATCAAGTGTGTGTGTGATAATTTGCCCCAAGTCCTTCAGAATCACCCTTGCTTCCCCAGCCATGAGTAGCTGACTCGTGAAAAGAGTAGATCCAGAACTGCACAAGCAAAATAGCTTTCCTGAACGATTCGGTGGAGAATTCAAAGGTGTGACTGGAATTAATCACACTGTAATCCTATTTCTGTAACTAAAAAATACGTATCACTATAAATATACACACACACAGGAATAGATCCAGAAGATACAGATAAAAATATTAAATATTAACTGTGGTCTTCTCTGGCTGTTGAAATTTGGGCACTAATGCCCCTTTCTTTTTCTAATATGTTCTTATTAGACTTTTTAGAAATAAAAGTGTATTACTAGCATAACATATTTAAGGTGAGGGGAGCAGCTCTTCCCTCTAGAAGCTTGGCTTATGCTGGTATAAATCTACAAGTCTCTCAAAAAAACTAAAAACAGAACTACCCAGCAACTCTACTCCTGGGTATACACCCCAAAAGATACATGCACCCCAATGTTCATAGCAGCATTATTTACAATTGCCAAGATACGGAAGCAACCTAAGTGTCCATCAACAGATGAACAGATAAAGAAGACGTGGAATGGAATGGAATACTACTCAGCCATAAAAAGAAAAAAAGAATAAAATTTTGCCATTTGCAGCAACACGGATAGACTCGGAGGGCATTATGCTAAGTGAAAATGAGCCAGATGAAGACAAACACTATATGGTATCACTTACATGTGGAATCTAAAAAATATAACCAACTAATGCATATAATGAAAAAGAAGCAGACTCACAGATATAGAGAACACACTAGTGGTTACCAGTGGGGAGAGGTGATATGGTGGGGAGGTACAAACTATTGGGTGTAAGATAGGCCACAAAAATGTAGCCTATCTACAACACGGGAAATATAGCCAACATTCTGTAATAACTCTAAATGGACTGTAACCTTTAAAACTTGTACAAAAATTTTAAAAATAACAAATTTTTTAAAATATAAATAAATCTCCAAGTCAACCTCAGAACTGCAGGCAGGCCTCGCTTTGCACAAGAGCACAGGACTATAAAAATAATTTAGCAAGGAGATCTTAATAATCACTGGGGAAAACTGCAATAATTCTGTGACATTTAAAACTGTCCGTAAAAACATGAAGAAATCTCTTGCTGTTACAATGTACAGGAAAACGAAAGACCAGTTAAACTAGTATTTATTTAGTACACTGTCATTTAGAACATTAGAAACACTGAAATTTAAAGCAGTTTTTTCTTTGTTAAAACCTTGGCAAACTGTCATACTCCTTTCTAAGCTTCTACCATTTTATCCTTTGTGCTTTCAATGTTGCGAAGTATCTCCAAGAGCTCCTCTCATGTGAAGTGCTTTCTGGTGTCACTCCCTTTGAGACATCTGCAGTCTTCTCATCACAACCACTTTCATTATTCACATCGATAAGTTCACCTTCACTAACTTCCTCTGGCTGCACATCTAGAAGCTCATGAATGCCTGCAACGTCAACATTATTTACTAACTCACGTTAACTGGAATTTGTGTATGATGGAACCATGCAAAGCAAGAGCTGCCTGGCTATGCAAATTAGATGCAAAATTACCTTGTGAATTACATTCTACCTATGGTTTGGCCACCATACTTCGCTTCTGCAAGTTCCAGACAGAACAAATAAATGGAGGATTCTATTCTAGAAGAGAACCATTCAAAACCTGGAACTAGAAAGAATGCTAGAGGTAATTTAATCCAGGGGCCTCATTTTATACATGGGGTGCTCAAAGTCACCCACTGACATGAGGTCATCTGTCCAGCATGTAAACCAGCTTGAAAATTTGAAAGCAAAGAAATAAAAAACGCTCGGCCTCTAAATTCCTCCAACCCACATCATGGTATCACTTTACTGAAGCAAAAACTGTTCTTGGACTGAGATCATCCTTTTGAATATGCTTTGTCATGAATATAACTTTTGTCATGGGTTTAGCTTGGGCAGTGAAGAACCAACACTGCCTCAAACTCTGCCAAAACAGGGTTGACCACACAGTCTGAAACAGAATCCCAACACCTCCATACAAGATGACCAGAAATATTTTAACTGCTCTCCAAAAGTCTTTAAATAGTTTTCTTTGTGTAATTTTTTAGTTAAGGAACAGATATGAATCAGGCTTTTTTTCTTGTTGGGTGTATGTGTTTGTGTGCTCCAATTTGAACTTCATCACATCAGAAAGAAAAAGAACTCACAGTTCTGAAAACTAAAAGGGCAGAATATTTAACTCCTATTCTAATACTGCATCTCTCCTAAAGCATATGAATATCTACAGCTGAAATTCTAACACAAAAAGCTGCCAGCATTGTTAGAAGCACAGCAAGAGATGTGCTAATATGTCATTTTTTGCAAAGGACAAGGATAATATAATAAGGTACCAGAGTATCAAATGAGAAAATGGTATGTGGAATAATTTATATGTGGATAGTGCTTCTGTTTATAAAGTGCTTCTATATGTCAAATCCCATTTAATCCTCCAGAAACCCTGTGAGGTAGCCGGACAGAGAAAACTTCCATTTATAGAGGAAGAATCTGTAGACTGTGGGGGGCAAAGGACTTGAGAGCAAACATCTGCCAAGCAGTGGTGCTGGACTAGAAACTGAGGGCATCTCCCTCCTACCCCAGCACTGCTCCCACGACACACAGCACCTGAGTGTGCACACGATTACACGCAACAAACACACAATTTAACTCACAGTGTAATAAAACATGGTATAAGATACTTATGAATAACAGGGCCTTATCAAAATATCACAAAGCAATTACCCCAGATACCTTTGATAAAAACTGGGAAACCAGCCAACGTGTCGTGAATTCTTCAGTCTCTTTAGAAGTGAAACGACACAATTCTCTAATTTTAAAGCTGCTTCCAACTGTACCAGCTCATGTCTTTACTGTCCTAGTCACTAACTTAGTTAAACCCACATAGATAGTTCCTATACTATGAGGGGAAAAATCTTCCTCCTAAATATTCATTAACCATATGTCAGAGTCATATAGTCCATTATGTAACTCATTTATGCTCTAGGGTTGGCAAAGGTAATTTTGGCAAACTCCTTATAATTTATATAGTGTCTGATATCATGCTCATCCTAAAGTTGTCTCTTGTCTTCCTGATACATCCCACAACCTATAGGTTTCAATGTATATAGATTTCAATGTATATCTGGTTTTTTCTGCTCCATACTCTAACCCTCTCAGTCTCTAAGTGACTTACTCCCTTTTTTTATAAGTTGATAATCCAAAATTTTTAATTTTCCTAAGTTACTGGAAACACAAATTTCAAATCAAGTGGTCCTAATAACTTTCTTTAAACATTTCCTCTGTAAGCTAAGAAACCACTCACCAAAAGCTGTGCTTCATAGAAATCACAAAAGCTTTAGTCTACCGATGAAACCATTTAGTTTAGAAGTCACTGTGTAAGCTTTAAAGTTATCTACTTAACTCCCTGGTTTAATCATATTAAATGATAGAAGTTAAGCTACTTAACTTGTTGGAAGTAATATCAGAATATCATCTTTCATATTTACTAGGTTGAATGACATCACTCAAAGACTACAAAGAGAAACTGATCTCAGAAACTCAAGATTTTCCTATACTCCAGCTTAATCAAATAAAAACAATTTGCTAACTCATATTTTTGAATATGTATGGTTCTCCAAGTATAAAAAAAAATACTGTGAAATACTGCTCTATTCTGTGGTAGGAAATAGTAGAAAAGCCTACTACTTCACCTTTAAGTAGTAAACCAGAAGTTCATTCAGAGCAGGATCAGCGTTGAGATTAACGAGGAAACATTTATCATCCCCAACTTTAATTCCAGAAGATTGAAGAGATATTCCAAGACTCTCAAGCTGTTTCTGCCGCTCCTGTAAAGGCGTTAGAGAAGAATTAATTCCACAGCTACTGAGGCAGCAAGATATAAAATGTCATATATTATAGTAATTATTAAATAACTTTGTAACTCAAATATGTTACTTAGGACATGGTATTATATAGGTTACTGCATTTGTTCTCTTTCTAAACTATAATGTTGCTTCGTTAGGTAAAATTTTTTAATTTCAAAAACAAAGCCATGCGGGCTTCCCTGGTGGCGCAGTGGTTGAGAATCTGCCTGCTAATGGGGACACGGGTTCGAGCCATGGTCTGGGAAGATCCCACATGCCGAGGAGCAACTAAGCCCGTGCGCCACAACTATTGAGCCTGCGCATCTGGAGCCTGTGCTCCGCAACGAGAGGCCGCAATAGCGAGAGGCCCACGCACCGCGATCAAGAGTGGTCCCCGCACGCCGCAACTAGAGAAAGCCCTCGCACAGAAACGAAGACCCGACACAGCCATAAATAAATAAATTTTTTAAATAAATAAAATAAAGCCATTACAAACAGCAACCAAATATACTAAGTTCTCATTTTTCATTCTTGAAAATATCTAACATCGTGAATTCACCTTTCACATTTAATTCTGTATATGTGAGCAAATACAAGTGTGTTTTACTCAACTATGATCTTTCTGAAAAGCCAAGTATTTAATACACTCTGCTGCTTGATATCCTCAGTGGGTCTCCAGCAGGGATAAAGGCCAAACTCCCTCAACCAAGCCCACAAGGCCCTCCAATCTGGCCCATTTACTCACCATCATCACATCTTGTCACCCCTACTCTCAAAGCCTGTACGCAGTTAGTGGAACATCTTCCAGGGCCCTCAAAGTCTCAAGAATGCTCTCTCTAGCTTAAGAGTTTTACACCTATTCCTCCTATCTGGAGCACACCTGTTCTCAAACTTGGTAACTTTTTACTCGACCGTTTCTCTGTGAGGGCAGGGACCCTATCTCTCCACTGTGTATTCCTAGCACCTAGCACAGTGCATAACACACAAGAGCACTCAAATCGTCGGTGTCATGAATTTATCAAAATAAAATCTGCATATTCAGTAAAGCCCTATTTTCATAAGAACATGAACCTTTCCTTTTCGTGCCTACCGATCTGTGAGTACATGCAACACACACACGCGTGCACCTAGGGAGATACGCATGAATCCTGCAACCGAATCGGGGCAGGGCAGGGTGTCTTTAACTATGTATAAATAGCGAATAGTGATGAGTCATCAAGAACCTCTGATTCTGAGGAAAGACAACACAAACTAAGTCACTTAACTAGGGCCACACAGTAAGTCTGCAGTATAGTTAAACTGCAGCCTTACAATTTTGCTATTTCTAGGCACACATCCTAATTTATACAGCCACTGCAACCCAGTCAATCACCCCTAGAATGATACTATTACAAACATACTGAAGGGGATATTTTGGTTCTGGGCCTTTGAATCGAGTCTCTTCTCTAACAAACATTACTGGGTTCCTTCGGAAGTGCTAAGTGGTTTAGCACTAGCCATTAGTTTTCAGCACTCAATTCTAAGCAATGATTATCCTTGATAAAGAACCATGTTCCTAAAACAAAGAAAGCAATTCTAATATATCTTGTATGGTCCCTTACTGAGGGAAAGGTCTTTTACAAAGGGATATTCGTGTAATTAAAGAATTATTCCAATAATGAGAAGAAACATTTCTCTATAAAAATGTCTTTTTTTTTGTAAACTACGAATGAAGTGGGTAGATGTTCGTGAACTAATATTAAATTTAAAATGTAGGGTAAAACTAGTATATTAATCTGTGCACTGGGAAAACGTGGAAGAAACCACAGAGATATTAACAGTAGTTTTCTTTGGATGACTGGATCCGTTCAATTAAATCTTCTTCAAAATAATCTTTCTGTATTTTCTATAAGTAAATACTACTTTCGTAATACAATAGTTTCTTCTACTTATGTTTTTATTAGGACTCTAGTAATTTTTACTATGGAAATAATTAAAAGATTTAGAAGAAGTCTGGTTACTGTCATCTAGTGGCAAAATTTTAATTCATACAGAGGCAAAGGCAAGCCTGAAAAAGACTATACGACTTAACAAAGGTAAAGCCACTCAGAGTAAGGGAGAAGACAGGATTTAAATGAGATAATGTATATAAAACAGCCAGGATATACTTACATAGTACATAGCATATAGTAAATGTTTTAACAGATAAATCAAAATCTTTCTAGCTCCTACTGCTGAAATCTAAGAATTTTAGTTTGACATTCAAAGCCCTATAATGAATGGCCAGACTTACTTACTTCCAACCATTCCCACACTCTCCAATAATAACTCTCTGACTTTTGCTCAACATTGATAATTGAATACGGAATGAATGTCACTGAATATAGGTTTGCCCAAGGTCACTGAGCAAATCTATGCCAGAGAAAGGAATAGAAATGAATAATTGTCTAAGTTAGCAGTTAGAGTAAACTACTGTTTTATCCTACTTCCTTAAGCGTTTTCCTGTCGTTTGAGATTTTATAATGGTAGAAATACCACAAAATTTTTGTTTAAACCAAAGGGCACAGCGTTGAAAAACTGTCAATTCGTGGCTACATCTGCCACCAAAAATTTTGAAGTTTTTAATCATTAAAAAACGACAAAAGTTTGCAACATCTAGGAATCAGTTCAAAGAATAAACAAGTATTGTATGATAAAATATAGTTACATTTACTAAATATTGCTTCTGATATCAGAGATTAGTTAACTTTTTCTATAAAATGTCAAACAGTAAATATTTTAGTCATCTGGGTCCTATGGTCTCTGTCACAGCTATTCAACTGTGAAGCCATAAATAATACAAAAACGTATGAGCATGGCACATTCCAATAAAACTATGAAAAGAAGTGGCAGACCGGGTTTTTGCCCAAGGGCTTAGTTTGCTAACCCTTGATCTATCTCACGTAAGTGTACATTTCTTTATTGAGAACATAAAAGATGAAAATAAGAGAATTTGGTATCAAAGATATGCCACTGGGCTGAGAAATTAGTCAACTTGAGTTCTGACTGTTTACTCAAAAATACTACTGAGCACATAGTTTCAAAAATTAAGAGTTACAGCCTTTTTTCTTGAGAACCTTACAAACTCATTAGGTAATAAAAGTACACACAAAAAACTGAATAGTAAATAAAGTACTCATGATTTAAGGGTCAAAAGGGTACAGACAGCTTCCACAGGGTTCACTGGCAGGGACAATCTCCGGGGGCGGGCATACTAGAGGAAGATGCCACAGAACCCAGAGGACTTTGAGAGTCTGGCTGACTTAGAACAGACTCCCAAAGAGCTCTTCAAAAAAGAAATCCATTTGGCTGAGTTCACCTAGGTTTCCTCAAAGTTATCTGATCATGAACCATTTTTTTCCCTTATTAACAGTCTGTGGCTATTAACAGTGTGTTAAGACTTATTAACAGTCTGTGGCTATACTGCCAGGAATACATTTTAGGAAATGCCAGTCTGTATTGCAAAGAGGTCAATGACCAATAGACCAGTGAGAGAGGAGAAGAAAGCTCAGCAGCACTGAAGCCTGGGGGCTTGGAAAGATAAGGTGTTAAATGAGGTGTTGGATAAAATCAGGCTGTCCTCAAAAGGGGCATATGACCGAGACAGAGGACAGTTAGGTGAGGAAAGATGCTACAGATAAGCTGCATCAGCACTACACTCTCACTTAGACCTACCCTGCTTCGTATCAGAGCAAAGCAACCCAAGTACAATAGCACTTCAAAGTCAATGTTTTATTTTCAGAGTAGCCCAAAAATGCTCACATAAATTAGTTCCAAATTGAATGATAATTAGAATTCTTATTAAATAAGAATTTAATTTATGAAAAACAGCAAGTGTAATATGCAATGAGAAGTAAAGTTTATATACTGGTGTATTCTCTTCTCTGTAATCTGAGGGATATGCTTTAAAATAACCCAGTGCAGGGATACAGATAAAACAAGACTGGTCTTATGTTGGTCTTTAATGAAATTGGGTAATGGGTACGTGTGGATATATTACACTCATATTTTTATTTATTTTGAAAAGGACTGTAATAAAAATGTTTAAAAATCAACTTAAATCCTAGTCTGCACTAATATAAATCTAACATCCACCTTATGCTACATAATAATAGTACTGTCCTACAACATCTGATGCATCGATTGATTCTGGACAGCACATTGAAAGATGGAATCTACTGGGTAACAAAAGAAGTAGCAAGTTCTATTTTGTTAATACAAAGAACAGTTGAAAACACAAGAAATTTTTAATTTTAGAAAAGGAGGGGAAGAGGTAGAGGTGACTCTCAATATCTGGGTAATAACAGATCCTATCTTGCAGGGCTATTGGGAGGATTAAATAAAATGCTGTATATTTAGATGTGCTTAGCATAGGACCCAATATGTACATGTACCCAATAAGTATTGGTTATTACTGTTATTATTAGTTACTACATACAAGTGGGACACTTATTCTCTTAGCTTTGGAAGAACAAACTAAGGCCAATGAACAGAAATGGAAGAATAAAAGATTTCAGTTAAATCTACCATCAGAGTTATCCAATCATAAGAAGATTGCGCAGTGTGGTACTGACCTCCACATTATCATATATATTTCTAAAACAGAGGCTGAATAAGCATCTAAGAGGAAAGTCACAGAGTAAACCCTTTACTAAGCACACAGTTGGACATTTTAGGATTTTCTCCAAATGCTAATGCACCCACTGGAAGATTTCACTACTTTATATTTAATGGTCTAAAAATAAGAGTCACCTCAGATTTAGGTATTTCATATTACTTTTACTGCGTTGTCATATGGAAGCAAGACGCTCATAGCCTAAATATCTACTACTAATAATTTTGAAGTTGGGTAAGTTCCTTATGTTTGCAAAGCACTTAACAGAATTGGGTGTTCAGAGCCAATGGCTAGTTATATCATTTAAAAAATTTTATGACACTAAAAATATATTTCTTACATAATGAACAATTAATTGTAATTATGTCTTTATCCTTCAAATGAACTTTGTAAAGTACAGACTCCTGGATTTAGATCTTATTTAAATCTTAATCTGCTAGATTTGCCATCTTCAAAGCTAAAAATCAAAAAGAAATCAGAAACATGCTCCGAGTTGCACTGCGCAAACTGCCACGACGTTTCTCTCTCCTTAAGCAGGAAGCACGAACCTGGGCAATCTCCTCGGTTTTCCTTAATTTCTCCTCCCAGGTCACAGTCATTTCCTGGATTAGCTTCTCTGATTCTTCCAGCCGGTCTTTCAGCTCTGGAGATTTCATTGCCTACAAGCAAAATGTTTATTTCATGAAATGTCTGTACAATGCCCTGAAAAAAGAATTCGCTAAATCCAGGAGGACAAGAGGAAGAACCTGACTCTTCTTAGCTCTACAGCTCACTGGGGTCCCTGACCTGCCTAAGACACAAGGACTGTCACTGACCCAAAGCATCCAGACTGTGTGGGTCCCACAGACTCACCTAGTTATCCAGTGGGTTTGAAAGAAGACTTAACCTTTTCATTTTTCTCTAACCTGTTGTTACTGTGAGATCTAATTACATTTAGGGAGATAAAAAGTTCAAGCTACCAAGGGCTTATTTTTTTAAATCTCAATAGGTCTAGACTCATATGTGTGACTCATTCTACTCTTAATTGATGACTTTGGGTATTTCTTCAAGTATATGCAGACTAAATTTGCACATGTTGAAAACTGGACGGTGTTATTGATACCAGGAAGACAGAAACAAACTTTCAAAGAATCTTGATGAACTGTAAAATTATTCCTGTAAAAACAGGATAGGATTCAACAGGCAAAAATACAATCAAGATAATTGTTTTGACCATGTAATTTACTGTTATACTACCAGAAAACAGGTCATGAGAAGAGGGCTATGGCCTCAGGCCCAAGAAAGAATCCCACAGTGCTTGGAAATAATGGGAACAGAAATGCTAATTAAAGTAGGGATCCTGAATCTGACATTTTATCCCACTTTTGATAAAAGGATAAGCATTTGAAACTATTACGTATAGAATGGATAAACAAAAAGGTCCTACTGAATAGCACAGGGAACTATATTCGATATCCTGTAATAAACCATAATGGAAAAGAATATGAAAAAGAATATGTATATAACTGAATCACTGTGCTGCATAGCAGAAATTGACACAACACTGTAAATCAACTATACTTCAATAAAATAAATTTTTTAAAATAAATCTTTAAAAATCAATAAAAAAGATTTTTGGTTAGAATTGTGTAGGTTTTGAATTCAGTAATGGAACATAAATATCATACACTATAGAATGTACAAAGGATAGTGAAACAGGGCAGTTTTAAACAGATGGCTACTTCTGCTATATTTTTTCCTATGAACATAATTAACCCATAACATGGAAAAACTAGATTATGGTGTGCAAGACCTCCTTAGGATTTCTGTTTGGACTTCAACCTGTGAACATCTGATACAACACAAATCTGTTTGATTCCTCTTCTAATTAGCCTATGCACATTCACCACCATTTGCTGCACTAGTGTTAAGTTGTATCTATTTTTGTTTCAAGCATCTCTCTTTCTCTACCCTATTCTACTGTACCTCTTTTCTCGTCAGCTGCCTGTACTGTGGAAAGAAACATTTTCTCAATTCCCCTTATTCTCTCCTCCTATTCAATCCTTTAACACCTGTAAAAACTATCTAAATTTCAACTATGACAATTTATCTGTCTTCCTTTATTACTCATCTCAAATTTCTCTTCCTATAGGAAATTCAAAAATTCTACTCATCACTTATGGCCCTGGGGGAAGAAAATTCAAGTTCTAGCTTTACTGGATTTTCCTAGACCCATAATGCTGCTCGGCTGTGCCTCATACCTCTGCTTTGGTTAGCTGCTCTCGGAGTTTTTCTACTTCTTCTCGGAGGTCCCGGATAATCCGTGCATTGGGATCCTCATTCACCACAGCGTGGTTCACGATGTTCTTGGCACGATCTGCATACCGCAGGGTTGAAAGGGTTTCGTCATAGTTGTCAGCGGCCGGACTCACAGTAGCTACCATGGCTGTCTTGCTGTTACCCCCAAGACTGTCCTGGAGGAGAAAAGAAATTGAATACCATTTTAAAGTTGGAAGAAAACATCATATGGCAACGCTGAAGCCCCATATGATGAGATAATGTCCCAAGGTCAAACACAGGTTTAAGGACAAAGCCGGGACTTAAGTACAAGTATACTGGCTCCCAGTCCCATGCTCTTTCTTCGCTGGCAAAAGCTACTTTTCTGCAAAAGGGAGCTTTGGTTTTTGAGAAAGAACTGGGAAATACAATGAAGCCCACACTTATTTCAGTTTAATAAAAATTAATTCTAAGTCAATTTGTCCTCTTTTAACAGGCAACATGATACCATAAGTCAGCAGCCTGCTCAGAATAAAAAAGGATGCTTTCTTAAGTGCCTACAAAATCTCCCTGAGAAGACTGAACAGTCGTAACAGTATTTGATCAAAGAGTGATTACCTACAATCTACTCCATAACACCATGTACCTGGAGTCTCTGTGAAGCCTAAATAATAGCTCAGAAAGTGGTGCTGTTATAATGCTATCAAGCACCTTGTAAATTTTTTAAAACATAAGGTACAATTACGGTCTTAGAAAACAAAAGATACATTGAAGGTACTTCATCGTATTCCATCTGACAGCACTTCAAAAACTACTGAAACAGGCTTCAAGTTCTATACAACCGCTTCTAGAGTTCAGACAAGGGTGCTGAAAAAAAGACATTCATCTCCATTAGAGAAAACTGCTAAAGGGACTTTAGGATGGGCTTCAACAAATTCAAAAAACAACTTCCCCTTGAGAACATTAAAAAATAACTAGATATAACTCAGGATTACAAAACAGGACTTGGGAAGTCAAGTCTACCCCACGCCGCTTCGCCACACAAAGGCTGCATGAAATCCAGCTGCGCAGGCGGCCTCTGAGACGGCCCCCAGAGATCTACGCCTCCTGGAATTCACACCACCATGTCTTCCCCTTCCCTGAGTGTGGGCGGGACTTTCTGATCTGCCTCTAAGGAAGAGAACACAGAACTGATGGCTTGCCACGTCTGAGATTAGATTATAAAAGACTGGCTTCTGCTGTGGGTGTTTTCTCTCACTCAGGGAAACCACTGCCATGAGGTGAGGCAGCCCGAGGAAGAGACCTCAGGAGTGAGTTTGGAAACACATCTTCTGATGCCTGCCCACAAGCACTCAGGTGAGCAGATCCAACCTCAGCAGCCCGGCAAGGACTGCAGCCCCAGATGACGCCTGCACTGCAGCCACGGGAGAGACCCCACCCAGAACACTCAGGCTGCACCTGCAATCCTGACCCAGAGAAACCCTGAGGTAACAAACGATGGCTGCTCCCAGCTACTGAGTTTTCAGGGTAATCTGTTGCACAGCCATAGATAACTCCCACTACACTATCTCAGGATGAGAGTTACCCAGAAGACTAGATTCAATGCCCCCTTTCAGTAGTAAAGTATCACTGAATTACAGACTCACAATATTAGAGAGAACACTCAGGCTGGCCACTAATGAGGAATTCATTAGATCACAAGAAAGCCAACTCTATCTTTGGGCTGCATTAACCAATACAAAATTCTTACTTTTGAAGATAGAAATGTTTTCCGTTATCAATATTTCTAAAATTTGCTTGAACCACCCGTGATCTATACACCTTTGTGCAGAGATTATTCAGTCCTCAGCCTTTTGTGAATTAGAGTATTAGTATCCCCATTTTACTGATGAAAAACCAGAGGTTTGTTCTGACAAAGGAGGTTAAATACTTTGCCTACAGATCCAGAACTAGTGAAGTGAAAACATTCCTGCCCAGTTGTATTCTACCTTCCAGTCCAATATGATTTCCACTCCCTCACAGCTACCCACGATAGCACAGTAACAAAATAACACCTGGCAACAGAGAGAGTTCAGACCTGAAGCCTTTCCAAATTGTTCTGTCCTAGTGCCAGAAACAGAATTATTCCCTAGGTGTTGCTAACAGTTCAATATAATCACAAACAGTACGTCCCCTTATTCATCCATTACTAAAATTTTGGTTTTCCACAGAAAACACAGCTAAGATAATTATATCATTGAAGGAAATAACTCTTCGATGCATGAAAAGGGAGGAAATGAAAGTAATCTGGGCTTTAGGAAGCAAAGGCAATTTCTGCAAAGCCTGGATGACTGCTTGCTTCACTCTACTTCCAGACACTGATCTCACATTGCTGGTGCCCAGCTTTGGCAACTTCCAGAAAGATGTCAAGAAGAATCCCATGCACGTTAATGGAATTCAAATGTCATATATCAAGATCATAGGAATTACATCTCAGGCTGGAATTCAGTTCACAAGCAGCGCCGTGGTGCACTGCTGCCCTTCCAGAACCACTGCATTCTCTTAGCCCACAGGAACAGCAAATGCGGTTGGGTAGAAGGGGATTCGTAACAATAACTACCACAGGAGAAAAGCATGCATACTGTGCTTCAATTTGTGCTGAGAAAAGGAAACCTGGCAAACAACAAATACTTGACATTTTTTTTTTAATACCTGACATTTTAAAAGCCCTTGTGCATGAGCAACAATATGCTCATATTCAAAAATGGCCTCATGCCATCAGCAAAAAGGAAACAGCAACAAAAGAACTGGCACTCATTCAAGGAGAAAGTATAATGCTTCTTGTTTACTCTTTAATTGTTTAATTAGGCAAATCAGATGAGCTTTGTTTCAAACGCAGAAACTGCAAATTAAATGGACATAAGAATTTTAGAAGTCGGAATTTTTTAAAGCTGAAAGAACTCTTTGAAGTCACCTAATCAAATTATTTCATTTTACAGACGAGAAAATGAGACCCAGGAAGATTGACAGGCTTACCAAAGGTCATAATGCTAGTGCAGAGCACAGCTGAAATTATTCATTCATTCAACTTTTCACGGAGCTTACCATCTAGAGGGCAATGCTGGTGAGCAAATACTATATGCTAAGAACTAAAGTAGAGGTAAATACAATATGGTCTGGGAAAACAGAGAAAAAGCAGAAAGCCCAGTCTTGAAAGGTTAGAAAAGACTCCCAGAGAAAGTGACATTTGACACCTAAAGATGAATAAGCATCACCTAGGTAAAGGGGATGGGGGAGGGAAGTAGGAAGAGGGATTGAAGAGAGGAGGAAGACAGTTCCCAGCAGAGTAAGAGCAAAGTCCTAGAAGTAAAAGTACTCATCACTCAGCTAGAACTGATAATGTCAAGAAGCAAAAGCTGAACACTGACAAGTAGGGAGGGGCCTAGTAAACCACAAGTCTTTAAATAACTTGGACTTTATCATAAGTGCCCCTGGAGAGTTATTGAAGACATTTAAGTTTAAGAAGAGTATTAATTTAGAAAGACAGCAACCTAACTGTAAAGAACGGAATGAACTAGGAAAGCCCAGGAAAGAAGTTTCAATCACCCAGGCGAGAGAAGAAAGCCTTCATTATTCATTAAGTAACTGGCAGAAAGGATGCAAAAAAGTAGATGAATTCCAAAGATATTCATTATTGGAGCACTCATTACAGGAAGTTACTTGATGTTAAGAGACCTATATTTAGAAAGTCACAGAGCGAAGAAAACATAATCTTAATATGAAACAGTTCTCCACTGACCACTTACCAAATGAGTAAGCGCTCAACCCTGCCGGAGAGAAGAGCAATCACATCCATCCCCATCCCCCCACGTCACACCCCCACCTGCCAAATCACCAAGTGTGAGCAGTTTCTCTGACTCTAAGAGCACTACATAATTATAATGCGAACACAATGCAAAAAAAAAACTTTAAAAAGAAACTGCAGATCTTATAAAGGATGAGCAATTTTATGAGTTGGATGAAAGTCACGGTGGAGAATACTAGCATCATACCAAGTCAAACAAGGATCAGGAAGAATTAGACTAATTGAGAATTAAAGAAGGACATAAAAGACACTTGAAAGGAGAATGATTTGTGTAGCAATGGATTCCAAAAGGCTTTGGGGAAAACTGTTTAAACCCCAGCATAGGTTTTACAAAAATGCCCCTACTTATGATCTTGTACAAAAGTCAAACATCGTAAAGAAGGTCATGTAGTTCTTCAGGAAAAATATGACAAAGATCAAGGAAACTATTCATTTTTTTAGCCTAAGAATTAACACATAGAGGTTACAATCATAGCCTAGTTTTATTAAACAGAAGATAAAGTGAGCTTTTTAAAAAAGTGTTTAGTTTTGCTCTTCAAGTTCAATTATATTCAACAGTTTCTACCACATTTGGTAAAAGTAAGGTGCGTCTCTAGTGAAAAGAAACCTTTAGTAAGAAGAGCACAGCCTAGGCAACAGAAGATGGGCAGCAAAGTCAGCCCTGGATTCCAATCTTGGTTCTGTCACTTGCAGGTTCTGTGTCCGTTGCCACATCTGTAAAATGGGAACACCACCATCTGCCTTCCAAGGAATAAATGAGATAATGTATGTGAAGCACTTTGCACAGTACCTGATTCTCCTGACCCAAGCTCTCCTGGCCTCCAGCCTATGGGATGGACAGTCAAAGATTAACCTAGGCCATTTTAACTACGTCAACTTAACAAAGTATTTATTGTTGGGTTAAATGGACTGAAGCAGCAACACTGGAACGACAGGACAATGAATATTCTTTTAAATCAGGCACATCCAGAAATCATCAGGAATGATCAGGAGATGTTTCTATGGAAAGTGTGAGGAAGAAGTATTGTATTGAGATTTCTTCTGGAAATTAAACAAATGAGACTTCAAGGTTAATTACTGACACTTGAGACAATTATTTCCTTGGTAATTAAACATTTTATAATATGTATCCCTTTAATTCAAGAGTTATTTACAAGTGGTTTTTTTTTTTTTTTTGCGGTACGTGGGCCTCTCACCGCCGTGGCCTCTCCCGCTGCAGGGCACAGGCTCCGGATGTGCAGGCCCAGCGGCCACGGCTCACGGGCCCAGCCACTCCGCGGCATGCAGGATCCTTCCGGACTGGGGCATGAACCCGCGTCCCCTGCATCGGCAGGCGGACTCCCAACCACTGCGCCACCAGGGAAGCCCTACAAGTGGTTTTTAATCATCAAATTTTGTTTATCTTTTTGTTTTGTTTTGTTTTATTTATTTATTTATTTTTGGCTGTGTTGGGTCTTTGTTGCTGCACGCGGGCTCCTCATTGCGGTGGCTTCTCTTGTTGAGGAGCACGGGCTCTAGGCGAGCGGGCTCAGTAGTTGTGGCTCACAGGCTTTAGAGCGCAGGCTCAGTAGCTGTGGCGCACAGGCTCAGTTGCTCCGCGGCATGTGGGATCTTCCCGGACCAGGGCTCGAACCCGTGTTCTCTGCATTGGCAGCCGGATTCTTAACCTCTGCGCCACCAGGGAAGTCCCTATCCTTTTGTTTTAAATTTCTCCTTTTACTGCATTTTGGCCAAAGGAAGTAATCTACCTGATTTTCTACTGTGGCAAATTTCACTTAATAAAGCATGCTCAAACACTGTGTAGAGTTTTAGAAAGTAAAGTTGAATACTAGTAAAGCCTTTGAGAGGGTGTAGAAACTAGAAGAAAACCCTACTCCCTTTACAAACATGGTTCTCTAAACATGTCAAAAGCTGTGTTCTCTACTAAGCTGCCTGCGTTTAACTCATCTTTATATGCTCAACCACTAGCACAGTGAGTAACAGGTATTCAATAAATTCTTGATCACTGAGAAAATAAGCCATCACACAACTAAACAGGCTCACAAAATTATTTTTCCATTTTAAAAACATTTTTTAAAAGAGCATTAGGTAAAATATTTTATTCCGGGTTGGCAACTTTATAAGGAGTTAAATTGTCACTAGATTTGATATCCTCTAACTCCCAGTCCAATACCTAATCCACCACACCAGCTCTGTCAAGACCAAAGGGAATCTTGAAAGACTAGAAGAAACCTGGAAATAGTCTCTCTCTTCACCAAACTCCGATTACATGCCATTTTCTTCTCTCTCATGGAAATCACCCACTCGTGTTATAGTATTCTGTGTATACAACTTCTCTCCCTTACTAGACTGAGTGATTACAGGGCAAGGGGTGTCTAGCATTTCCTTACATCCTCCTCACAGCGCTTCATACAGGCTTTTTCTTCCTCATTTCCATTTCTCTCATTCATGCTGAATCAATTAACCAGTGAATGACTGTGTGCTCTACTCTATCTTTTAACAACAGCTTTAAGCAGCTGAAAGCAAATTAAAATGATCATGAGTAGTCTGGAAGTTAAACAGAAAGAGAAGATCCAAAATGTCCATCAAACAAAAGGAGTCTGTGAGAAGGATGCAGCAGTCCAGCTGGGTCTGGAACACAGTGGAAACCCCTTTCCTATGACGCGCTCAGCTATCAGATCAGCACTAGGTCCTGTTCTAGTCCCCAAATCTCAGAGACGACTGTGCGATTCGGTGTGCCGCAAACCCCCCTGCTTCCGGGTCCTGGTGAATCAGAAAGAAACCCATGCTTAATCCATTAAAATTAGGACTACCATGTAAGAGTCTAATGATTATAAATTTGAACACTGATGTAGGAAATTATAATTGGGAGAAATCAATAGTCTACTCTTTATTCTTCCTTTTCACCAACCACCAAGAGCATCCCAGAAAGGGGGGAGAAAAACTTACTTTGAGCAGCCAAGTGAGAACTGAGTCACGATATGGAACAAATTTATTCTTGTTTTTGCCAGCACCCTGATCTGCTAGGGCTGAGATAACCAGACCGAGGGTTGTGAGGGACCTGCATGGTGCAACAAACCGTAATAATCGTAAAAACCTGAGTGTATCAAATGTCACATTTTAGCACAAAGACTGAACATCAAGATGCCTTTGTACCAGCACGAGAACAGCACTGTTGTCAGCATTTTGCTGCTCAGGTTAAGAACACATAAACTCTAAACGCTGATATCCCTCTAATACTACTGTAAGCTATAAAACTGCTTAGTTCAATTTTTTTTTCATTTTTGTAAAAAAAAAAAAATGTAAGCTGTAAACCATTAGGTCAAGATAATGACACAAATGCCACATATCTTTAAGAAAGGATGCCACAAACACAATACGATTAACTAAAACATAGTACAAGGCAAGAACATTCATATATATATAAATAAATAATAGCGTAGCATCTGGATGATGGTATTCTATGATCTCCAGCTGGTTACTGATGACTGTCTCACTAAGTGTCCTTCTGGGAGCCACAAGGATGGAAAAGATTCCTGCCCCCAAGGGGCTAACAATATAGCTTAAGGTAAGAAAATGTATAACCATATGAAGGACTTGGTGCACAAAATATTACTTTGTAAAGTAAAACCTTGGTATAAATAAGCACCACAGCTGTCATAAAAAGCAAAGCCCGATGTAGCCAGTACACGTTATTGTTTGTTCAGACAGTGACACCCACGCCAAGATCCACAGCTGGACTCTGATACTCCGATTATCTTTGTTTCTATAGCTTAGACCAGTGGCTCTCAACTGGAGGGTGACTATGTCCCCACAGGGGGCAGCTGGCCGTATCTGGAGATAATCTATGTTGTCACAACTCGGGCTGGGGAGAGAGATGGCAAGTACTGCCGCCACCTAGTGGGTAGAGGTCAGGGATGCCACTAAACATCCTACGAGGCATAGGACCACTCCCTGGGACAAAGAACTCCCTGGCCCCGAACCTCAATAGGGCTACCCTTGGGAAACCTTGGACTTGACTGAGGTTGTGCTCCTCAGCCCCAGAAGGCCTCTCAACAAAACATAAAACAGGCTCGGGCCCTTAAAAAATATCTCTGAAAAAAAATTCTACACTATTTATTCTTTATAGCCTCAGTCATTCCGGAATCCTATTCTTTCAATAACTACAGAAGTTCCCCCTTTTGGCTACTAAGTCACTGAAGCAACAGAGGCAGGCTTCTGGACAACTTACTTGTTGATGTTGCTGCCCTCCTTCAGCCTGTCACCTGCCGCTCCCGTTTTCGTCGCTCGCTCGCTGCCGGCTAAATCAACCAAGCTCAGCTTGCCCACTTTCTCTCCAGATGTCTAGGAAGCAAATCGACAAATACTAACAAACAGTTACAGAATACAGAAAGTGATACATCTCTACCGAATGAGTCTATTATCTAAATCCTTTATTAAAGCGTATCTGTTATTTTAAAGTTAATTTGTGCTGCTACATAACAGTGTAAGAAAACTACACAATCTAGTAGTAGATACACACAAAATTATACACAACTACGAATCCAGACAGAAAACTATCTCAAAACAAAACAGTGCCCCCCAATATGGTACATTTTGAAGGGAACCCAACAAAATCTTCTTAGAGAAGTATACAAAAGCACTATTCATAAGGTATAAATTTTAATATGTGAAACCACGCTTAAAATTTCATATATATTTACCAATAATCCTGAGGGAAAATATTTGAATTTCTTATGATACAAAAAAATCTGACTTTTATACAACAGAAGGATCCCTCAAAGACCCAATGCTTTCTAAAATTTTTCATATTATTCATATAATAATTCCCTTGTTTCATAATTTCAGGTATTAAGTTTACATATTTTTCTAGTTATACATACTGACATTTTCCTTTATCAAAAATGTTCAAAACAGATAGTTCAAAAACAGATAGTTTATACTTCTGCAGCAATGTAAGAAATGTGGGAAAGCAATGCCAAAATCTATGGACTGGATCACTTTTTAAAACTTTCCTTTAAAGTATACATTTATACTTATTTCCATAAATAAACATGTTGCTAACAAAAGGGTATTAAGCTTCCCAAATCAAAAGTACTTTTGGTTTTAAAAAAAAAAAGTCAGTATGTTTTTTGTTTTATGCTGAAAAGGAAATAGAAAATAAAGAACTTTTTGTCGTTGCACTAATCTTGCTGTGATGGTAAAAGAAGAAAAATATGCTCTCAGCAAATGAAAATCTTGCCAAAATGCAGCACTTTGCCAGGGTGATCATTTTAGCTTCTGGTATTTGAAATTGATTCGCTGGAGGGTAGTAATAAAATATGCAAAAGTTCACATAAAAAGTAAGAGGGAAAACACAAATGTATGAGCCAACACAGAAGTTTTCAGTGTGATAGAAGCATACACATCTCTGGCTCTGTTACTTTTCATAAGCTTCAAGTCCAAATGCTCAAAAAATTATTCTACAAATCTAGAATCTTATAGTACAAGTTCCCCAGTATAACTGAGTCCTTCTAACACTTTGCTGTTTAGCAGAAGGTAACACTTCAAAAGAAACTCCACTAAATCAGCTAGAGTATTATTAGCTTATACAGTTTGCCATCAGAGTTAAAAGCTCAAAAAATGCTATGGCAGAGACTATGGGCCATCAGCTTGTATAACTTCTGTTCCAACTTCCTTTATTTGGAGAGGGTGGAGAGCTAAAACCTACATTTCTCAGACTCCCTTGCAGCCAAGGCTCAGGATGTGACTTAGGTTCTGTCAATCACATATTCTTGCTTAAGATTTAGAAGGCAGAAACAAAGTAGAGGTCATCCCCCTCACCCATTTTGGCTTATTTTCTGCTGGCAAGCAGGAGTGTGGATATACGAGTTTTCCTAAAAAGGCATCCCAGCTCACATTCTCCAACTACCAGGGCTCTAAGAAGGTGGCCTCACTGACTCCTGTATCTTGGATCACAGCTCTGGGGTGTGCCTGGAACTCACAGGTCTGGGGGTGGCCTCAGGGGTAGTACCATCCTCACTGGATGAGATCTGTGCTCTTCTGGAGGTTATTCCTAGAGATTTAGTCTAGAAATCACTCCTCAGAAGGTGTACCAACAACTTTGTAATCATCCAATTCCCTCTATTAAATCCCTTTCTGTTTACCTAGAGTAGCTTCTGTTTCTTGTCCTGAGTCCTAACTGATACACATGCCTGGCTAGGACTTTAAGTCATCTAACACCTGAAGGGAATAAGATAAACCATGATCCACTTTAGAAATTAAAAAAAAAAAAAAAAAAAAAGGGTCATGTATCTGAACACCTACCCCAGACTTCACATCATATAAAGTGTGTGTGAGGGTGATTTTGAAGACTGCATGTGATCGGCTGCTCTCCTCATTCATGTTGGTTGCAGCAACTGTACGAGATTTGTTACCTTCAGACATCAAAGATTCAATATCCTAAGTGGAAACAAGTCATAGACACACATTTCATTATCTAATAAACATTAAAACTCTGCTATACTACGAAATGCATTCCAAGTTTCACTACTTAGTCAACCACATTTGGAGTATACATTCTGTTTCTCGATGAACATTATGCCCCACAGAGTACAACAGCCAGCACTATCTCTGAAAACTCAAATAAAATACATTATTTACTGTAGGTGCAGAATAAAGCAACAGCTCTGACCAAGAATTAGAAAAGTTTAGAAGCTACATGTTGAAGTCCCACAAGATGGACAAACATGCCATGCCAATCCTCATCTCACCTAGAAATTTGAAAAACTTTAGCTTATTTAATTATAGTAATAGAAGTTAATTGTTAAATCAAATTAGATTGTATAAATAAACAGCAAACAAAAATCATTTGTAACCCCTTCACACAGGCATAGCATTACATCACCGCACTGGTGTATATCTTACCAGACCTGTTTTTAAAAATGAGGACATCAAGAGACTAATTTTCTGCACAGATTCACTACTTCATTGCCATTATAACTAAAACAGAAACAGCATGATACACTCGAAAGATCATGGGATCTTTGCGGTTTCTTTTTTAATGTTATAAGCTCTAAAACAGTTACTTAAGCAGTCTGAAATCTAGTTTCATAAATAACAATACAGCTATGATATCATCTACCTTACAAGGATTTTAATGAGGAACAAGAAACATACTGTACTTGTGAGAGAGTGTACTAGTTGCCTTCCTTTATCCAGCCTCCTCTTGTTTCCAGTAAAGGAACCCCATCTTTAGCTGAGCACACTGCAGCGGAACTAAGAGACTGCACTTCCCAGATGCCCTTGCAACTCAGCCTGGTGATATGACTAACTTTTAGCGAATGAGACAAAAAGTCACCTGGGAATTCACCTTAAAGGGAATAGGCACACTATCACATGCTGGTTCTGAGCCATCCTGAACTATGAGAACAAGGGCATTACTAAAGACCTGGCTCTATGTGGAAAGCTGGAAGGAATCTAGATCCTAACAGCAGCTTTGGAGTCGCCATACCAGCCCTCTCACCATTCATTCATTTGTTCACTCTAATAAATACAGAAAGCACCTACTACAAGCCAGGTACATTTTAAGATACTGAGGATACATAGGAACAAAACAGATAATAATTCATATTAAAGCACTTAAGTCCTGTTATATTATTTTCAGTTATATGCAGCCAAACATAATCCTAACTGACACATATATATGAAAAACTTTGAAAATAATAAGATTCTATTTTCCTATATAAATGAAAAAGAATAACATTTAAGGACAAATTCAACATGATACATAACAAGCCTCAAAGTAAAAATACTGCAAAAAGAGGTAGAAGTTGGCACCAGAATGGAAAAACAACAAAATGTAAAATTTACAATTTTCTAGATTTTTCCAAATCCATTTTAGATCCATTAAATCTTACAATCCTGACACTTAATGAAAAAGCTTTATTCTATTTAGCCTACATTTTTAAAAAATAAATGTTTCCTGTTTTTTTTTCTTTTAATTAATTAATTATTTATTTATTTATGGCTGCATTGAGTCTTCATTGCTGTGTGCGGGCTTTCTCTAGTTGCGGTGAGCGGGGGCTACTCTTCGTTGAGGTGCACGGGTTTCTCACTGGGGTGGCTTCTCTTGTTGCAGAACTTGGGCTCTAGTAGGGCGTGAGGGGTCAGTAGTTGTGGCATGCAGGCTCAGTAGTTGTGGCTCGCTGGCTCTAGAGCGCAGGCTCTGTAGTTGTGGTATACGGGCTTAGTTGCTCTGCGGCATGTGGGATCCTCCCAGATCAGGGCTTGAACCCGTGTCCCCTGCATTGGCAGGCAGATTCTTAACCACTGCGCCACCACGGAAGTCCCTAGCCTACATTTATTCATTGGTCTCTAATCATCTAGACATTCATTGATCTTTAATCTGTTGTCTCCTACATAAAACTCTTTATTGAATCTTTTAATTTTTTCAATAAAATGTCTTTTTATACTTTCCAATCTCTCTGAGCTCTCAAAAAAATCTTGATCTCTCTCCACTGTTGCAGAAATAAGCTCTCAAATATCATTATTAAAACAACAATACCTAACATTTATATGATACTGTAGAGTTTTCTAAGACTTTTCACATGCACTATCTCATTTGATCTCCTCCAGGAAGCTTTCCTGGATACCACCCTCCTGGACACCTACATATCCACTGAAAGCAGGTATTCCTCCTCCAAACTACCATGAATCCTGAACAATGCATCTCTCACTGCACTTAAAATCATGTTGTTTTACAATACCTTTATAACATCTGTAAGCAACTTGAGGGAATGGACCACCTCATTCATTTTTTATATTTCTTTAGCACTTAGCACAATGCCTGGCATATAACAGGTATTCAATAAATGTTTACTAAATGAAGTAAATAGTGTTTACTAAATGAAGTATCGTTGACCAAATGATAGAATGTGATTAATGAACAAAGGAACTAATGAATCTACCTCAAAAGATAGTCAAGACAATAAAACTAATTTCCATTCTAAAAATTAGGACAAAGAGGCTTGGTGAGATAGAGTAAACAATCCAGAGTCATATAAGAGTCATATGAGAAGACTGTCACCATCAACAGTCTCTGACTCTTAATTCAATGGATATTACATCACAGCTCACCCTACCCCCATTTTCCCAAGGAGGAAAGCCTAACAGATTCACACAAAGCATAACTGTGAAGTTTGAAAATGAAGAGAACTAGTAACTAAAGGTAAAAGAGTGATTCTCTCAAATTAGAAACAGGCTTTGAATTCCAACTACTCAACTCATATTTTATTTCATTAAATCAACAAAATCATAAGCAACATCATTATTTTATGTACTACTACAGAAGAAAAAAATACTGCCATTTATCATTTTAAGATACAATCGTAAGGAATATCACAATTTTAGAGCTCATAAAAATGGGAAACATGTGTCTCACAATAGATGAATAGGTATGCCTTGCAAATATGTATACCTTCTCTCAAAATTAAACTGACCCAAAGCTTTTTAATAAAGGTTTTTGTAACTTTTTTACAAACTTTTTTGTGACTTATTAAGTGATGCTACCATAATTTTTTTTTCAGCAAAAGATCACAAATTCAACAACAAAAAAATTTGCTACAGCGAATTTTAGTAGTTCACACAAAGGATGTTGTTACCTTGTAGCCTGTGACAGCCAGTTTAGAAAGTCCATCGACATAGGGTCCCAACACACTGTGCTCTCTGACTCTTAACGTTTGACGGCTTCTGTTCAGTAAAAACAAAAGAATCAATTTTTAAACAATTAACCTGTTTAAAAGCCATGCGCAATAAAAATACATACTGAATTCAACAAAGATCCCACATAAGTAGAACAAACAGACTTGATCCCAGAAGAATTTAAACCAAAACTTAAGATCTTGACTAGTAAGAAAAACTTGATAATGTGGTAAAATCTCACATCATTCAAAAGGGTACACTGTGGGATGTCTACTACCACAAAGAATGCAGAGTCAAATAAATACAAACAATCTACTTGTCAGATCACAGAATGTGGCACAAAGAGCAGAAACTCAATAAATGTTAACTGTGCAAAAGAAAGAAAACTACAGACAAAACTCAGTCATGAATAAAGACAAACAAATATAAACAGACAAAAATAAAGACAACAGGCTGAATCTAACAGTGATTTAAAAACATAAAGTTGGACTGTCACAGGGCTGCTAGGTTGTTTTAACACTGAACAAAGATTCATGCTCTTTACCACAATGATAGACTAAAGAGGAAAAAAATATACATGATCATTTCAATAAATGATTTCAATAAACTGAAAAATGATTCAATAAAATTAAATACTCATTCATGATTAAAAAAATAAACCTCTTACAAACAAGGAACTACTAAAACCAGTAGAGGGCACCTGTCAGAAACCTAGAGCATATAGCATACTTAATGATATCAACCAAAAAATATAAAGAATATTTGATGACTGATTCTATGTCAAAAAAGCTCTTCAAAAAATCTAAACATTACAATTCTTTTTTTTGGTTGCACCGTGCAGCTTACAGGATCTTAGTTCCCTGCCCAGGGATTGAACCCGGACCACAGCAGTGAAAGTGCCATGTCCTAACCATTGGACCACCAGGGAATTCCCTAAACATTACAATTTTTAAAAAGAATATTTATTGATGGTGAGATTACAAGTGATTCTTGTTTTATGTAACTTATTATTTTCTAATGATTTGGAATCTTACAGTACCCTAGGATCAACCACCAAAACTTTACTTACTACTATAAAACTGTATATAAAATACATATAGAGGGCTTCCCTGGTGGTGCAGTGGTTGAGAATCTGCCTGCTAATGCAGGGGACATGGGTTCGAGCCCTGGTCTGGGAAGATACCACATGCCGCGGAGCAACTAGGCCCGTGAGCCACAACTACTGAGCCTGTGCGTCTGGAGCCTGCACTCCGCGACAAGAGAGGCCGTGATAGTGAGAGGCCCGCGCACCGTGATGAAGAGTGGCCCCCGCTTGCCACAACTAGAGAAAGCCCTCGCACAGAAACGAAGACCCAGCACAGCAAAAATAAATAAATTAATAAACTCCTACCCCCAACATCTAAAAATAATAATAATAATACATATAGAATATTTGACTTAGAATATATCCAAAGATCAGAACTATTACAACTTTTTTCCTTTCACATTTCCCTTTTTCTTAAAGATAGTGTATATTGCATTATCTCTTGAGTAAAACAATTATATTACTACACAAAGTAGGCAGTGAATTAATAAAATCAGTACTTGAATAAAATAACTAGGTTCTCTCAACTAATCTTTCGCTGAAAAGGAATCACCTTCAGAGTTTTTAATCCATTCACTTTGGCTCTTCAGAAACACTACAAAAATCCTCGAGAAACTTTCATGGAGACAACAACAGCTAACACTTATTGAGCACTTACTATGTGCCAGTAAATGTTCTAAGACCTCAGGTCTATCAACCCAGTCTATCTTCACAACAGCCCTCTGAGGTATTATGTAACGTTATAATCCCTTCTGTACAAGTGAGGCCTAGAAAGCATAAGGAACTTGCCTTGCCCAATAGGTAACAAGTAGAGGACCTAGATCCAGAGCCAGGTGATTCCAAAGCCCATGCTGTCAATTACTAAACTATACACAAGACAAACATATAAGATATTACTAAAGACTATTAGCAAATTGTAGATAGTAAAGTTCAAGCTATTCACATAAGCACTGTGGAATATAAAACATGAAAATGAAGTCAGCTAAGAATTTCTGGGAAGAGTAGGAATTTCTGGGATCTCAAAGAAAGTGATGCTTTTCACAGAAATGAAGGTGCAAGAAAAAGGATTCAAGGCAGAGCCAGAAAAAGTAGAGGGGCACAATTTTTAGCAAGATGTGGCTACCTAGGCCACAACCTTCCTCCCTCTGGACTTCCTTTGGTTCCCTGTTTCAACATCTGTGCATACTGCCCTTTAGCCCCACTGGACAGCTGAGTCACTTTCCAAACCTCTGATTTCTCCACACCTCCATGCTCTGGCACAGGCTGTCCCCTATGCCTGAATCGTTCCCACCCTGCTTCTCAGTGGACAAACTCCTACTCAGTACAAATTTATCAAGCACTCTCTGTAGAATCTTCCCTTCTCCTCCGGGCAAAGGCAGTCACTCCCTCTTTGCTCTCACCTATTTTGTGTGAGCCTCCTTCACGATTTAAAAGCATTATTGCATTGATTCATAACTATTTGTTTCCAAAACTCCCATTCTGTCCACACTGAGCTCTTCATCTATGACTGCAAAGTGCCTGGCATACAGTGATCACGCGATAAATGTTAAGTAAAGTTCTATATAAAAACACTAAGTGCCGGGGGCTGGGGCTTCCCCAGTGGTACAGTGGTTAAGAATCCGCCTGCCAATGCAGGGGATGCGGGTTCGATCCCTGGTCCGGGAACTAAGGGATCCCGGAGCAACTAAGCTTGTGTGCCACAACTACTGAGCCTGTGCTCTAGAGCCCACGAGCCACAACTACTGAGCCCATGCACCTAGAACCCGCGCTCCCCAACAGGAGAAGCCACCACAATGAGAGGCCCGCACGCTGCAATGAAGAGTAGCCCCCGCTCGCCACAACTAGAGAAAGCCTGCACACAGAAACGAAGACCCAACACAGCCAAAAATAAAACAAACAAACAAACAAACACTAAGTGCCAGGAATTCCCTGGCAGTCCAGGGGCCCGGGTTAGATCCCCGGTCGGGGAACTAAGACCCCGCAAGCTGCGCGGCACAGCCAAAAAAAAAAAGGGAAAAACTACTAAGTGCCAATTCAGCCTCATATGAAAGGCCTGCAGATCATTATCTTTGCTAAAGAAAACAGATGCCAGTGAGGAGCTGACAGGTTTAGTTTTCTCTTGATTGAGGGCCGCTGTGACCCACTGCTTCTGAAACCAGCTTTCCTTGATCGTCCTCCTCATCCCAAAATAACTAGACGCGCCCTCGCCATTCTCCGCGCTTTCTATAAGCTTCAGCTCACGTGGCTCTTTGACCTTCCAAATACTGCTCTTACCAGCAATAAGCCACAGGCTGTGGTTTTTATGTTTTTCTCTCCATCGTTGCACTTCCTTAAAATCTGAACTCAGAGAACTCTGTGCAATGCACAAATTTCCTCAGATACCCCTTATCTTCCTCATTAGCCTCAGTTATGACTGCAGACTGCGGACAGCATTCTTGAAGGCTTTCTAATACTTTTAAGCCACTTCTCTTTCAATGCCTACGCCATAAAATTGGACACTTTTCCCCCTTGAGAATCATGAAAATGAACTATCTTGAAGTCCAGGTTTCACTATTTCTGATTATGTCACAGCCTGCAAACAGATGAATTCCATTCGAAATTTCTTGGTTTAAAACAAACAAAAAGCACTCTACTTGATTAAGGATACCAGTTATACTGATATTCAGTAACAACTATCAATACGTATTTTTTGTTTGTGCTTTTGGATATATCTGAGAGAGACGGTATAACCCAAATACATGCTGCTCAACCATGCTTCCCTGCCCCATCTCAGCCCTAGTTCAAAAGCCCAGAACTGGCTACAGGAAACCTCTTAATATAACTAAAAACTAGAAAAATAACTCTTTACTCAAGTTCAGTATAAAACATGTCACTTGGGGCTTCCCTGGTGGCGCAGTGGTTGGGAGTCCGCCTGCCGATGCAGGGAACACGGGTTCATGCCCCGATCTGGGAAGATCCCACATGCCGCGGAGCAGCTGGGCCCGTGAGCCATGGCTGCTGAGCCTGAGCGTCCAGAACCTGTGCTCCGCAATGGGAGAGGCCACAACAGTGAGAGGTCCGCGTACCGCAAAAAAAAAAAAAAAAAAAAAAAAAAAAAAAATTTCACTTAAGCCAATTTATTAAGTCTGTTTTAGTCCATAATACCACAACATTAAAGTCTCAAAGTCATTTACCCTTTGGGATCAAGAAGGTCTCTAACTTTTTCATTGTAAATTTCCATATAGGACACTTCTACTTTAAAACTCTGCTCTTCGTTTTCCTCTTTCTGGGTTCGTTCAAAGAGTCCACTGCAAAGTCTTGGGATTAATCCAGGTTGGTCAGCTGTGCCCATCATGGTGTAAGATTTTCCAGATCCTAAAAAATGGAAATCATAGTTATTACTGTCTCCTTGAGAAGTTTAAATACACAGCCCTCTTTCCATTGCTCATAATAAAATCCTAGCACTTAGCAAAATGTCCCAAATAAGGAATATACCCAAATATAATGATGACACTAGTAAGTAGAGAAGCTTTCCAATTATACATGTAGAAGTCAGAAGTCCACATCCGTTAGGAAGAAAATAAAAACCTTCTTTAACTATCATCAAACGTAAAAAAAAAAAAAAAAAAAGACCTAAAACGACTGAAAAATTGTGAGGTAGGAATAGTTTCCTAAAATTGAACTGGAAAGATCCATATGATGAATACTACGTGCCTGCTTCCAACCACTAATCATAGCATAAAAAATGTACGTTATCCCTACAGGCCCCAGAGCAAATTAACTTACTACCACTACCCTTTGGCAACAGTGTAGAAATCAGAGTCATCTTATTTTTCTACTACAAAATTATTTTCTATGTACCAAAAACACATATTCATTAAAGAAAATTTAGAAAGCATAGGAAAATAGAGGAAAAAATTAAATCACTCATAGTCCTAACAAGTCTTGAAAATATCATAACCATTTTTCCATGAAGAATAGTTTTCAATTGGACAAGTTATACAATATACCCTTATAAAAGTGACTCCTTCACTTTAAATAGATTTCTTTCCTGTTGACCACAGAGGTATAGAAGTCAAAACACTCCTTTATCAATCACAACTGATAAGATGCTAGCAATATGTATTCTTTTTGGGTTTTTTTTTGTTAGGATCTTTAAAGTTTAAAAATAAAACAGATTATTTAACAATTACCAGTCTGTCCATAGGCAAAGATACATGCATTGTAGCCATCAAAAGCATTCTGAAGGATATTCTCCCCAAGGCACTTGAAAACATCATCTTGACCTGAAAGAATGACAGAGAAAAAGGTCGGATGTTTTAAGCCAAAACTACATATGAACAATTAAAAAAACAAAAAACAAACATAACTCTCAAAAATGCACTTTTTTTCTCAGCTTGTTTATCTACCAAACAAGATTTTTAAACTTGATGAGTGCTTCCAAAGGCTTATGTCTTTCAGAAATATCTAGTTATTAGCACATAACAGAAAATGAGTGAAAAGTTCCTGATAATATGAACTTAAATCAACACCGGCCAAAAAAAACCAATGAACTGCTAATTTTATAAACAATGATTATAAATATCTGAAATGTATACTTGGGACCTAGGTGGATCTGAATTTAACTATGTACCACTCAGCCAAAGCTTTATTCAGTGTGTACTAAAGTTCAAAATAATCATATATATCAATTCCCTCTCCTTTTCCTCAATGATAATGTTTAATTACAGGGTCTACAATACATACCAGCTGGGAGAGGGAGGAAGGTCTGGGACATTTCTTCTAGCTTTCAACCATGGACATAAATAGTAGGGTCCAATTCCCCTCCACAGGCTAAATTAAATATGTCAATAACCAAACGTGGCCTTGACAAGTTATTCAACCTCTTTGGGCCCTGAACATAATATGAAAGAACTGGATGCTGTTATGCTTGTTACATTTTGAACGCTATAAACAGCATTCCATTAGGCCTCACTTTCTAGCTCATTTACAAGATCCATTCATCCTCATCACACTTGTGATTCTGAAGCAATCCTCAGAGTCATCACTGGGCCAGCCAGCCCAAATTAACCTTAACTTTTGGAAAGAGCTGTAGTACTACTGTTTTTCATGATAAAGGCCAATACAATATTTAAAAGATTGCTTAGAAATGGGTGTCATAAGCAGTTAGGAATAAAGGAAATATATGGTTATCATTGTAGTCTTTTTTTTTTAATTTGGCTGTCACTGTAGTCTTTTTTTTTTTTTTTTTTTTTTTTGCGGTACGCTGGCCTCTCACTGCTGTGGCCTCTCCTGTTGCGGAGCACAGGCTCTGGACGCGCAGGCTCAGCGGCCATGGCTCATGAGCCCAGCCGCTCTGCGGCATGTGGGATCTTCCCAGATCAGGGCACGAACCCGTGTCCCCTGCATCGGCAGGTGGACTCTCAACCACTGTGCCACCAGGGAAGCCCCTGTCGCTGTAGTCTTAAACTTGTAGTGAAAAGGGGCTTGAGACAGTCATCATTGAGGAGAATAAAAGAATAGACTCCCAGAGCAAATTTAGAGAGGATATGGCATATTCCTCTCCATTAAAGAGGGAAAAGGGGGACTTCCCTGGTGATCCAGTGGTTAAGAATCCACCTTCCAATGCAGGGGATACAAGTTCGATCCCTGGTCGGGGAACTAAGATCCCACGTGCCGCGGAGCAACTGAGCCCTAATGCCTCAACTACTGAGCCCGTGTGCCTCACCTAGAGAGAAGCCCACGTGCCACAACAAAGAGCCTGCTTGCTCTGGAGCCCAGCACCACAACTAGAGAGAAGCCCACGCACCACAAGGAAGAGCCTGTGTGCCGCAATGAAAGATCCCACATGCCACAACGAAGATCCTGCATGTCACAACAAAGATCCTGCATGCCACAACAAAGATCCTGCATGCCACAACAAAGATCCTGCAACTAAGACCCACCTCAGCCAAAAATAAAAAAAAAAAAAAAAAAGAAAAAGAGTGAAAAGGGACACTGAAAGCCTGAGTGATTTACTGAAAGTCAGAGACAGGAGTGGAGCTTGGATTAAGCTCAAGGTTTCCTTTCCTCCTTGGCTAGAGTTCTTTCATTACACCAAGCTGCCTCTCTAGACCATATTACAAACATCTAAGGGAATCTACGTAGCTACTGCATGCCATGGTCGTGTATAAGGCCCAGGGATGCGTGTAAGACAACCTCAACTGTGTACGCTGTTAATCTAACTTTATCATCTTATACCAACAACAGTATACCATGAATCTCCCATTTCCCAATCAAAGTTAAAACTCTAATAGCAAAGACTGGAGGGAGTTCTCTATGTAGTTTCTAAAATTACACAAAATACTACTATGATACTTTATAGGAAAAACACTAAAACACCTTTCTATATTATCAGTAGTTAATAGGATGCTGGACTCTTACCTGCATACTTTTCTCTGACAGATTCATCCATAGACCAGAAACAATGATCATATGCAAATACCTGTTGAAAAACAAAAATAATAAAGTTTGCATTAAGAACAAAACTGTAACATACTTATAATGTTATAACAATGTCATGACACTGATAACATTGTTCATAACAGTGAAATAAAAACTTCCTGTCTTACAATGGAGGTTAGTTATTTATGGTACAGTCTTACAATAGGCAAGTAAGCACCCTATAGATGATATAGATCTTTATTTCACATGGAAAACTTTTCACAATGTTAAGTGAAAAGGGAGGAGGTTACAAAGCAATATGTATAATATGATGGCTATTAGACACACACACAGTTACATATATAAAAGATTACTGCACGATAAGATTAGTGATATCTTTGTTTTCTTCTTTATGCTTTTATGTATTCTCTACATTCTTTTCTCATCAGAGAAAACAAAGATTTTTTTTTAAATAAAATGTAAAGATGGTTACTACAGCATGTTGAGAACGCATATTCTTTAAATAAACTATAACATGCCCATGGTCGATACTGTGTAGCTTCAAGAGCATAGAAGACTAAGATTCATATATTAATGTAAAAGCTATGAAAGTCTGGACCATGATCTCATATCTGTACAAAAATCGACACACATAAAAAGTAGGAAGAATATACATTGGAAATATTAGTAATACATATTGCTACTTTATGGGATATCACAAACGATTTGTTTCAATCTTTTATTTTACTACTTTCTAAAATACGTTTGTTTTTTTTTTACTTTCAAAAGTCTTTTTCACCGATTATATTTTTAATTTTTTGGATTTCACGTTTTACAATTTAGTCTTTTTAAGGATTTTAAGTGTTTTTAAATTCATTTCAGTTTGCATTTCAAACTCCCACTTTTGGAGTTTGTTGCCTCACTTCCTGATGACAGGTTTCCTCTTGTGCTTTATATGTTAGTTTGCAAGTACATCTGAATTGGGAGTTTGCATTTTATGGTTTACATGATTGCCTGTTTTTTTCCTCCCCCTTTGGCCCCCCCATTACATGAATAGTTACACTGCCACTCCCAGCTACTGAAGCCCAGATCTGGGTCCTTCCAAAGCCCAATGTCTCTACTCCCTCCTACTTAACACAGAAATTGGCTCAATGTTGGTGGCCAGAAATCCTTTTTTCTTTTAATATATATACTTTTTTTTCCTAAATTTATTTATTTATTTATTTTTGGCTGCGTTGGGTCTTCGTTGCTGTGCACGGGCTTTCTCTAGTTGCGGCAAGTGGGGGCTACTCTTCGTTGTGGTGCATGGGCTTCTCACTGTCACGGCTTCTCTTGTTGCGGAGCACAGACTCTAGGCGCGTGGGCTTCAGTAGTTGTGGCACTTGGGCTCAGTAGTTGTGGCTCGTGGGCTCTAGAGCACAGGCTCAGTAGTTGTGGCACACGGGCTTAGTTGCTCCACGGCATGTGGGATCTTTCCGGACCAGGGCTCAAACCCATGTCCTCTGCATTGGCAGGCGGGTTCTTAACCACTGCCCCACCAGGGAAGCCCCAAAAATCTTTTTTTAAGCCTTCTTTCCTGATGGAGCCTCACCCAAATCAGTTTTCTCATGGTGAGCATCTCTGGTCCTCAACCCATACATAGGATCCCCTCTAGTCTGCAAGGGTTGAACCTCCAATCCTCCAAAAACCTGTGTCTGATCTCAAGGCCCAGTAAATACGCTACTTCAGCCCCAGCCTGCTGCTGGTCCCTGCAGTGACATATGTTGTTTTTGAATATAATGACATGATTTTAATATTTTTAAATGTCTTATCTGTCCCTGCTATGAGTTTGGAATTGGCAGAAGAATGTTTCTGTGTGAACTCACAAGGCTATCATGTGGACCAGAGGTCTAAGAGTTACATTTTTTTAAAGAGGAAATTAGATTAGGATGGTAAATTAAGTATGCATGCCTATATCCACCTCTACTTGAAATTAACACAAAATGATGGAGAGAGGGAGGGAAAGAGCCTAAAAGGGAAAGAAGCAGGGAAAGGAGAGCAAGTTTTTGAAATCAAGATTGCTTGCTTATACCTGGACCAGAAACTGAGAAGCCCTGAAAAACAGTTGCAATGAGACTGGTGCGGTGTGAGATGGGGACCACAGGGAGAGCACAGGCCAAATCACGGCAGGAGGAGATGGCTGCAAAGCTAAGAGCAATTCCAGGAGTGCAGCAGGAAAACAGCTCAGTGAGTGGCTAGGGGCCCTGGGGGCAACCGAAAGGGCAACTGGCTAGAAACACCTTTAGAGCAAGGAAGGATCAGAACACCCACATCTTTGTGCAAAACAGTGGCACGAGGCATTTGTTCCCTGGGGTGGGGCAGTGATGGGGAAGCAAGGCCAAAAAGGTAGGCAGAAGCCCAATGACGGACAACACCCCGGAGGAGGTGGGAACCCTGGAGCCCAGAAGCCATCCACCCAGCCTCAGCACTATGTGGTACATTACTAATCCTCAACATTTTTCCAGAGCTAAACATGTGTCTGTCAACAGTGGTGGCTCCCTATGTTAGCAATTCTCCAACAGAAAGGGGAGGAAAAGAAGAAGCAAGATGGAAGGTGGCCCCAAAGGACTGTGGACCAAAACCTCCAGCAGGGGCTGCTTTTCCAGCTACACTAGTCAGCAGGGAGAGATTAAAGAAGATGTGAAGCTCAAATTAAGTTTCTTCTGTTCTAACGTTCAGCTCTCATCTCTCAGCACTTTATTTGATTCTGCTCTTACCAAGCTTAAGTGGACACCATCCTGATTCTTTGCTTGTAAGCTCAGCTCACACTTGAACAGTCCATCTGTATGAACATCTCAGAGATCAGGCTCTAAATGGCACTCCTCTCCCTACGACTGTGGGTTTTTCCTTTCTTTTCTTTCTTTTTTGAATTCAGGGAGTTGGGCTTCCCTGGTGGCGCACTGGTTGAGAATCTGCCTGCTAATGCAGGGGACACGGGTTTGAGCCCTGGTCTGGGAAGATCCCACATGCCGCAGAGCAACTAGGCCCGTGAGCCACAACTACTGAGCCTGCGCGTCTGGAGCCTGTGCTCCGCAACAAGAGAGGCCACGATAGTGAGAGACCCGCGCACCGCGATGAAGAGTGGCCCCCGCTCGCCGCAACTAGAGAAAGCCCTCGCACAGAAACGAAGACCCAACACAGCCAAAATAAATAAATTAATAAACTTCTACCCCCAACATCTTCTTAAATTCAGGGAGTTCTTTCACAATTCTTGTTCTCAATTCCAGTAGAGAAGCTACCATTAAAGTAACCGCAACAACAGCTGATACTACACGGGAGGCCCTGGGGTACAAGGAAGTCAAGAAGCTGGTAACCTGCAGGTGGGGAGCTGGGAGCTGAACCCAGCCTTTGAGCGCTCTGTCTACTCCCCACCAGGCCCTTCACCACAGGCTGGATTCGCTCTCTTCCCCAGTTACAGGAAGGTGCCACAGCCTGGTACAAAGTTGGGAACTAGGAATGCTTAGTTCTTGTTTACTAACAACACTGAATGGTCCTCTTTAAGTTTCAGGAAGTTTGTAAATTATTACAGGTATCTTCCAGCCACAGATTTCCTAAAGCAGACAAGCCCTTTTCTTTCTAAATAAACATTTTTCCTTTAAAATTAAAAAAAAAAACTTTTTCTAAGTCACAGAGAAGAAACACACATTCATTATAACAAGTCAAATAACACCAAAACATAAGGAATAAAGGTCTCCCATTCACCAAGCGTTTTCTCCTTAGAGGGAACCACCATGTTAATTAGTGTGGTGTTGGCCCTTCCATATTTTTTACGTCAACACATTTTCCCTAAACGTTAAGATACAGTTGAATTAAATAAAACATGAATAGTTTTTAAATAGTCATGTAATGTTTCCTCACATTTTTACTGCAATCTCCAGCCTCTGTTCCATCAAAAATTAAGAAAACAAAAATAATCTGGCATCTTTTCACAGAAAAGGTAAAACTAATGAAATTAGTTCTACATATATAAAGAAGTCAGTGCCATATTAAACTTCTTTTTTTTAATCATTCAGAGTCCCAAGTGACAAGTCTATACATACTTTAGCAACAATAATAGAAAATGGAATTACAGTTCAACCACGGACTCTTAAACCAAACTCCAAGAATGTAGATAAAAATCTAAATTTCCTGGAAAATTCCAGGGAATGATCAATTCAATAATACAGTCCTTGTGCCTACTTTGGCACAACTACATTTCCTAAGAGATACAGGAACTGACCCACCCCACCGAAGTTTCTTTAGAATCTGGGCTCAAATCTCAGATGAAAGCATATTCCCTTAAGGAAGCTGTGGGCCAGGGCAGGTTTCTGTTGGCCTGAGAATGTGTCCCCAGCTGTCCCAGGAGCAACATGGATGAGTCTGCCTGCTATGGTTCTGACCACAGTATGGGACGAGCAGTTTCGAGCCAATCCACGGCGAACAGCAGGGCACAAAAGGAATCTGTGTTGCAGTTGCCAGGAGACTGGACAGAATTGGTCAAAGTACAAATACAGCTTTTCTATAAACCTCTTACACCAATAAATGGCTTTGGATTTATGAACAGGCTGACAGCTTGCATTATTATTTTTTTTTTATAAAAATGCCAGAGAAAATTTTTATTTTTGAGAAGAAAATTACCAGTACTTCAAAAATATGCCCATAAGACCTTTACAAGCATCACATAATAAACCAAATCTCTTACCTTTGGCTGGCTTCTGAGTTCCCAAAAGAGATGTCATCAATGACATGAAAGAAAAGAGAAAGGGTTTAAAATTTTTTTTTTTAGTTAGAAGATGCTTTTTGAAGGGTAAAACAATAAACATCATGTAAATCTTTATTAAGAATATAAAATATTAACTTTGAAATCATATAGCAATTTGAAATAAAGGATAAATTAATACCTATTAGCTAGTAGGATAGAATGCTAATTATAGAAAACTAACGTATCTCTCAGGTAGAAGAAAGATTATCTGAGCACCGGATAATTTTTAAAGTCCTAATATTTCTGCTTTCTACCTTTTACTTATCCTTGTATACAACTTGTAAATATTTTTTTTTTAATTCTTTACTTTTTAGCATCTGATCTTACTTCCAAGCAGTCTCCTCTGCTTTGATAAAGCAGCAGCTCACTCTCTATCTATATAGGACCTTCTGCCAAAAACCTCTGTTCTAAGAAAAAAAGGTTAAAGGAACAATTAATTTTTTTAAATTTTTATTTATTTATTTTGGCTGTGCTGGGTCTTCATTTCTGTGCCAGGGCTTTCTCTAGTTGCGTCAAGCGGGGGCCACTCTTCATCGCGGTGCGCGGGCCTCTCACTATCGGGGTCTCCCTTGTTGCGGAGCACAAGCTCCAGACGCGCATGCTCAGTAGTTGTGGCTCACGGGCCTAGTTGCTCCACGGCATGTGGGATCTTCCCAGGCCAGGGCTCGAACCCGTGTCCCCTGCATTGGCAGGCAGATTCTCAACCACTGCACCACTAGGGAAGCCCAGGAACAATTAATGTTTTGCCGGTGAGTGACCAGTTATTCACTTATTACTTATTCCTCTATGCTGACCCAGGTGCCTCCAACCTCCCTCCCTCTGAAAATGCCACTGGCTTACATCTCCTCAGGGTACAGGAATATAACTCAATCCAGTATAATTTTAAGATAGTTTTAAACTTAGAAGCTGTAAGAGAAGCACACAGAGCTCCCTTTACGCAAACTCACCAATTGTTAATATTGCCACGGCTGCTATGCCATTCTTCCCCCCCCTCCCCTCTTCTATACACACACCCACACACATTATTTTCTCTTGATCATCTGAAGGTAAGTTACAGACATGCGCCTTCAGCCCTAAACACTTCAGTGTATAACTCATAAAAACAATGATGTTCACTCACACAACCATGGGAATAACTGGCCCTTCTCAGAGGATCCAAATGCCAAGTGAAACCTGAAACTTGAAAGGAAACTGTACATGGAAATACTTCAAATGTCTGGACATCTTGTGCCTTTGTCTCATAAAATTTTCTTCTAAATTTAATATTTATTTGTATCAAATGATTTCAGATAAGAAGACTAAATTACCAAGGAAAGTAGCAAATGAGTGACACTTGTCTAACAGATTTTGGAGTAACAGCCAATGTGACTAACACATAAAAGAAAATAATTTCTCTGGGATAGGAGATATGGGGAAACTTCCAAACAAAAAGACCTGGGAAATACCAGTAGAGATGACTAACATACGCTATCATCGTTTTGTAGGTATTTATAAGCAAAGAAGAATCTCATCAGTTTCAGAAGGCACAGTTACAAGCCCAGCTGGAGGAAAGAACAGAGCCAGTATATATGAAATGCCCACATTAGGCCAGGTACATTGTATGCTACTTCATTTAACTTTCACAATAACTTTGAAAGGTGCTATTATCATTCCAGTTTTACAGATGAAAAACTTAAGGCTCAAGAGTTAAATGAGCTGTCCAAGACACAATAATAATCAGTGATGAATCTGGGATGCAAAAGTAGGTCTTCCGAATCCCAAGTCCATGTTTTCTTCCTCTCCCACACTGGTCAAAACAGTCTCGTCAAGTTTCTCCTAGACTTAAGAATCTATGAGTCATACATTAACAACTGCGCTCCTGGTAACAGAAACATTTCCCAATGTATTAATTTCCTCCATTCTAATTATTATCCAATAAAAGGTCACCACTTGGTGCTTATGCCAGTGTAAGTTTACTTATTCATTATATTTATAAAAACTCCAGACTGTCTTTTCTGAGAGGAAAAATAAGATGTTTAGCATGATATTTTAAGTAAAACATTTTTATACAAAAATCAGCTCTTCCTAAAAGACAACCAACAAATACGAAATTCAACAATATATGATACACAGCAGAAGAATCCATGGGACTAACCTGAATGTAGAACATGATAATAAAAACAGAAACAAACCAGTAAATTAATTACAGAGCTAAGTTTCCAGCTAGGGATTCTGGTGGCTCTAACAGTAATGCTCAAATAACCTACAGAGCCATTGGAAACCCAAAGATGTAATTACAGCTCTGTACAAAAATAAATAAGTAAATTAATTAATTAAACAAAACCTTTCAACTTGTAGCTGCAATCCAATACGGCAATGCCTCACTATTCCAAAATCCCTTATTTAGAAACCTCAGCTAGCCAGATCACAGTGGAGATTTAAGAAGCAGAGAAAACCAGCCCCTTGACCAATCAAAAGAGATGTCATAAAGTAGAAGCATGAGAGTCTGAATTTCTGAGTTTCTGCTGTTGTTGTTACTTAAGTTCATTTTGAATTTCCACACTTACAAAAAGTTCCAAAAACAGTACAAAGAACTCCCGTGTACCCTTCACCCAGCCTCTCAAAATGATAACATCTTATTAAAACCACAGTTACAATTATCAAAACCAGGAAATTAACCATCAACACAAGATTTATGAAATAATCTAGAGCCAACCTTACACAAATTTCTTCCCAACTGCCCCCCTGATGTCCTTTTTCAGGTCCAGGATCACACACTGCAGTTGTCACGCCTCCTCCAACTGGGGACGGTTTGTCTCTCATGACCCTGACACCTGGAGAGTCCTGGGCAGTTATTCTGTAAAATGTCCCTCAATCTGGGTTTGTCTAATGCTTCCCCATGACTAAATTCACATTATGCGTTTTGACAGGCACCAAAGAAGCAATGTTGTGCCCTTCTAAGTACATCAATACCGGAAGGCACATCACTATGGAGAACAGTATGGAGGTTCCTTAAAAAACTAAAAATAGGATTGCCATATGATCCAGCAATCCCACTCCTGGGCATATATCCAGAAAAGACAAAAACTCTAATTTGAAAGATACACACACACCAATGTTCACAGCAGCACTATTTAAAATAGCCAAGACATGGAAGCAACCTAAATGTCCATCGACAGATGAATGGATAAAGAAGACATGGTACATATATACAATGGAATATTACTCAGCCATAAAAAAGAATGAAATAATGCCATTTGCAGCAACATGGATGGGCCGAGAGATTATCATACTAACTGAACTCAGAAAGAGAAAGACAAATATCATATATCACTTACATGTGGAATCTTAAAGAATGACACTAATGAATGTATTTACAAAATAGACTCACAGACACAGAAAACAAACTATGGTTACCAAAAGGGAAGGGAGGGGAGGGATAAATTGGGAATTTGGGATTAACGGATATACACTACTATGTACAAAAATAGATAAACAACAAGGTCCTACTGTATAGCACACAGAACTATACTCAATATCTTGTAACAGCCTATAATGGAAAAGAATCACTTTGCTGTACACCTGAAATACTGTAAATCAACTATACTTCAATAAAAAAAAATACCAGAAGGTACATGATGTTGTCCAAATCTCACTGCTCATGACGGTAACTCTGGTCACTGGTTACAGTTGTATATACCAGGTCTCTCCACTGTAACATTACTAGTTTTTCCTCTGTACCCTTCTTGGGGCGGGGGCGGTGATATTTTAAGACCATGTAAGCACCCTTTCTCATCATACTTTCACCCATGGATTTTAGCATCCATTGATGAGTCTTGCCCACAACAATTACCGTTCCCCAAATTGTGATTGTCTAGTTACTGCGATGTTAACAGCCCAGGTGGATCAAGATGGGTAGATGTGCTTTTTAGGAAGGTGATGTTTCAGAAGACAACAAATGATTTGATTACATATTTTGTAGTTTTATTTTATTTTATTTTAGGCCGTGCCATGCAGCTTGCAGAATCTTAGTTCCCTGACCAGGGATCGAAACCGGGCCCCCTGCGGTGGAAGCGTGGAGTCCCTAACCACTGGACCACCAGGGAATTCCCTGATTACATATTTTGGATAGAACTGTTTCTGTGAATAAGCTAGTCACCTCCTCCTTTTTACTCACCTGGTTTAGGAGCTTGTGCTCACTTCTCTTTTCAATAATAAATTACACTATAAAATTAAGTCAAATTAAAGTCCTAATCTTTAGAATGCCACAATATGAAGAAGAAATTTAGTGATTATTTTATATAAGTTAATGATCTTTGGGAATTTTTATCAATACTTCTGACCATGACAAAAATAAAATTGATATTGAGTCCAAAAATAAACCACAAAGTACTGTATATGTGTAAAACAAAACTATATCAGAACTATGAGTTATAAATCAATTACTGCTGTCAACTACCAAAATCAAACGTTATATCCAAATATCATCACCTCTTTTAACTTTAAAGATTTAAGTTTCTGAAACGTTCACAATTAGAAATATCTGGAATCTCTGTTTTAACAAGATCCCACTCCAACCCGTTCTATAACAGATGTGGTAACATCACAAAGAGTTTATTCTAATACGGCCATACTATATAAAGATATTGTTTCCTTTTCGGACTTAAGCTGGCAGTACCAGCAACCAAACAACAATCTGCGTGATGATCGTTATTTTTTCTTTGTCACCCCTCCCCCGATGTGCTTTTCCATATAAGGAATAAAGCTGACCTGAGTAAAAATTTAGACACTGACTAGACTCACAGAGGAGATTCATCAGTCTTTGCTGATCTAGCTAACTTGAAGAAGTACAAATATCACTAAAAGCCCTGGTCACTGTCTCCCCAACATTTAGAATACTACATTCAATTTTGAAGAATAAATTTTAAAAGCATCACTGATAAAGTAGACTATCTTGGAGAATAGCATTCCAGA